AGGAATCGTCGATGGAGGAATCGTCGATGGAGGAATCGTCGATGGAGGAATCGTCGATGAAGAAATCTTCGATGAAGAAATCGTTGATGGAGGCGTTGTCTTTATTATTTCATTTGTTTTTTGATTGTGATGATTAATTATATTATTGGTATTATTGTCTGTGCTCTTAATTGATAACTTCTTACTGTCATGATGTCGCTTTTTACTGTCATGATGTTGTTTCTTGTCGTCGTCGCGCGGCAGTTTGGCTGGTACTTGCTTCAATTCTTCAGACTCGTGAGGTAAACCTATTTAGAGCAAAGATTTACCCAATTGTTCTCACTCAGTCTGATACTCGCTCTTCTCTCGCATGAGTTACGTGTATCGATGATGTTCCTGAACATTATCGAAGGTGAGCTTAAGGTATATTGAATAAAGTGAACGCTTGTTGTCATATTTTTCAATGAATATGTGATGTTGGTAGGTGAGCAACGTGTGAGAATCCTCTCTTCATAAACGATAACACCCGACACCCACATCTGTAGCGGATACAACTTTCTGAGATTCAATTATAAACGATTGTAGAAAGTGTTTTCTATTCAAACTCGAACTATTTACTAGATATTCCAGGACGATGATTCCGGCTTCCGAATACTACAGGAACAGGCAGAAAAGATGCGAGAAAATCGCCATATCCTGCAGGAAGACACCGGAAATTGACGGAACATGGAAGCAGTATTCCGATCGAGGATTTTCCGGATTTTTCCTCGATTATTTCCGACCGGTTTCTGCTGGAAAGAGCAGGGATTGGCTGGAATCCATCGGAAAAAGTCCGAAAAATTCCCGACCGTAATACTGCTTCCATGTTCCGTCGATTTCCGGTGTTTTCCTGCGGGAACCGGCCCGTACTTCTTGACCTGGGTAGAATTCAAATTAATGAAGAGAAAACAGTTACAGAATACACTTTACTAATGAAAATTTTTGCAATACTATCTGTAATAAAAAAATTATCTTATTCACAGAGCTGATTTCAACCGTCCGGTTAGTATAGACGACTCAGACGCACCAACTTAATTGAAATTCATTGAAATCGATTCAGTTTTTTTATTAATTTTAACAGCCTACCAAAATATTCGCCCATCTTTATGTCATACACTATGATACAACATTAACAAGAAAAAACTACTAGCACAGCACACATAATATAGATTGATATACCGCTAGTTTACCAACAGTAGTTTTTCGGAAATTATCGCATGTAAAACAGCATATATTCCGACGATACATGGTCATATGTGTATTAAAATAATATATGCCTTAATGTTGGAAAAAAAATATCTCTACTCAAATAAATATAATGTTAATCATTTAGGTCATTATCATTCAGTAGATGTCAGTGAACAGCATTAACTAACAGAGAAAAAAGTTTAGAAAAACTGTAACTAAAACTTTAAAATATTTTGTACATAGAAGAGAACTAAGAGTTCAAATGAGTCTTCATTAACTATCCTTTACTTTATCTGTAACTCAGAAAAAAAATTTAGACATAAAAGTTATATATATATGAGTGAATTACAACTTTGTTTGTACCGTTGTATTCTTATAAGTAAAATTTCAATATCTCGAGTTTTTCTCAATCAATCTTTGTGATTTTTTCAGGGTAAGATTCTCTAATAAGCCCACACTACCACACAAAAAATCACAAATTTATCTTAAATAAATCCTGAGATATTAGCTGCTCAAGGTTCAATAGTTCGATTTCTACTGTCATCTTTTGAACAAAAAAGTCGTATAATCAATTGGTTTCTCATTATTTGAATTTTAACAGTTCGTGATATATATTTATAGTAGACATTTTAGACGTCTCGAATATGAGACTGATTGCTTCTTTCATCACAGTTCCTATAACATTTTTTCGGAATATCAGATGTACCGTCAATGCTCAATTTGGTGTCACATGAGATTTAAAAACGCCTTTGCTATGTAACAAAGCACTTAAAATTGATCGGGTCGGTATTGAATGAAAGTTAATCAATGAGGAAGTAAACTGCCAAAGATGATGCGAAAGTTTTACTTATTCTTGTTAACATAAGGATGCATAGGAAAATTTGAAAATTCAATTATCACAGGAGACGTAATACTTTATATGACGTATAACTCTCTTAAATTAAGGCAGATTGCGGTGGAATTTTTATCATTTTATCCACTCACTGTAGTCAACTATTGTTGAAAATATCAGGATCAGAAATTTTGTCTTTCATACAAAAGAGGAAAAATAATACAAAAATGCCACGCGAGACTATTGTGGGTATAACTACCTCACATCTAAAGCCAAAGTAGACACTTAATATATCACTTGACTTCTATATTTAAGGAGCTATCAACAGTCATATGAATTAATCATAGCTTGTGTCTCTCAAGTTAATAAATTCACAAAGAAAAGTTACTAATTATATATATTCTCTAATGGACTGCATCTTTGCAAATCTTATCGCTATATAAGTATAAAAACAAATATAATTTAGGAAAAATCATGCTGTTTTAGTTGTTAATTCTAGATCAAATATGGTTCATCAGTACAAAGAAAAGACACAACATTAAAATCTAAAATATGGTCGAGAAATTCAACTGAAGAGTGCACCTATCAAAGTTCCTTAATCTGGTATTTTTAAACAGTTTTTTAAAAAAAATGTAGCATCTTGGGCAATTTGATAGTGATAGTCGGAAAAATTTATTCATATTCTCCTCTTATATAGTACTACCGAATGCACTAATCATCGTGTTTAAAATCGAAAATTTTTTTTCACCGAACGGTACAATAATTCTGCAATTCACTCATATATATCCGATAAACCTAATTTTCGAGAATCACTTAATAGTCGAACATATAATGAGTTTACATCTGTTAACTACATACATAATAGACAGTCGTTCGATGAACTTACGAATCTGTTCGCTTCGTTTATTAATGTCGGTGGTGCCAATTATTGTTGGACCTTGATTTTTGAAATCGATTGCTTTTTGATGCCAGAAAACGCTCTGTTCATAATCACCTTTTTGAGATAGTAAATTGCCAAGTTCTTCATATACAGTAGAAAGTAAAGGATCGTTTAGTGGAAGTTCTTTCAAATATCGAGTAAAATATTGTTCAGCTAAACCAATTTTTCCCATAGTCCATAATACTTTTCCTAATATTCGAAGATTTGTGTCTCCATTTCCAAGTTGTGATCTCATATGCGTAAGAACATCTTTTAAATCATATTCAATCTCACTACACAAACTCATTCGAATTGTCCATAATCGATCAGTCATGCTGCATTCGACACCGTTCAAACGAAAAATAGAACCAAGCATAAAGAGTACTTCGGATTCTTTATTATAAGCACTATATTTACTAATGTCAGCAAATGGTTTTGTAGTGATGATACTAGGATCAGCATCAATTTCAAATACGACTCGTTCCAAACCAGCTGCAATATTAGAACCTTGAACGAATGTAAGAGCTTCCTGATAAGATTTACTAGTGGAAAAAAATGAATTCACTGAAATAAAGCTACCAATTAATTGTTTTAAAGTTTCCAATTCTTCACTTGATATCTTTTGACCTCGATAAACTCGTATACGTTCTTTAACTTGATTATTTTTCAATTGATGATAAATATCAGAAATATATGTACGAAATAAACAAATCATATAAGTATTTTCATTGCGTAGAACTGCATTAAGAGTGTTATAAAAGAAGGATTCTTCTGTATACCATGTTAAGGCTTTGTCAGGTGAATAAGTCTTTTCAAATTTACGAATAAGATTCAATTCAACACTATTACCTTCATATTGTTGTTTACAACACTTAATAACTTCATTTGTATCAGTTTCAGTGGATTTTAGCCTTAGAAGGCATTCAATCAGCATTTGAGAAAAAACAAATTTTCCATTTAGACCAGACGTTGATTTACCTTTGCCACGGTTTTTATTAAAAATATTAATTGAAAATGGTTCCTCCGCTTGTTTCTGTACTTTATGATCTTCTTTAATTTGTGTAACGAGTTCAGTAAGCTCAGACGCAACAGCTTTCACCTATCGAAAAAAAAACGATATTAAAATTTAAATCACAATACACTCAAGATAATTTTACCTTTGAAAATTTATCAGCCCATTCTTTGTTACCTTTCTTATCCATACAATAAACATAGATCGATACAACTTGTCGAAGCGCATGAATAGAAGGGACTATAATTCGTCCCAATCGACCACTAACAATGACTACTAATCGATCATTTTCAGACTGTTCTACAATATATCTTTCACATTGTTCTACATCTTGAAACTTTTTGACATAATTAATAATAGTACGTAGTTGTTGTTCTGTATTTCGAATATCACTACCATTTACATTACTATCAAGCCAGATAAGACTGAAAATTTCAAGGTGCGAATTATCAGAGTTTCTGCGAGAAGGATCATCTGGTAAACTAGATTGGGCCATTTTAATCAAGACTACTAAATAGAAAAGAAGTTTTGAATGTAATGCATTCGATTTAGTTATGGAATATATGAATTTTTTTGGCATGTTAGTTCATGATCTGATTGAACTGACACATTTCTATATAGGCATAGGATTTTTCAAGTTTGAGAAAACTTACTTTGGTATGATTCGAAGTTTTTCATTCTTAGTCAAGCACATATGTTATTTTCTATGAATTTCCCTGAAATTTTATTCAAGTCTTGGTATACATTGTTATTTAGAGATATTAAAGATGTAGAAGATAAAATCCTATATATACAATACCTTCTATATCTTTAATATACCCAAGAACAAACACATTAATATGCACGTAATGAATACAATGATATGTATGAATAAAAAATATATTATTAAATCGATAAGATATATAGGAGGTGTTAGAACTATAAAAAAAAAAAAGTTGTTAAGCAATCAACTACCTAGACTATTCAGACAGTTGCACAATGTCACAGATGGTATACCAAGAATCAAACAAATGAAATTTCAGATCTGTATCTCTATATTTTTTTCTCTAATGACAACGTTTTCTATGCTTCTATAAGATTTGACAGTATATTTTATAACAACCCATAATTATATATTATAATCAGTATTATCAATCCACTTGAAGAGGATCAGATTCTTACTAGAGTACAGTACTATCATTTAAAGAATCACACATAATTAGTGCAATATATCAGACTGCTTCAATACCGAGATCCCACGACACCGTACTAGCTAAGAGTGTAACACGAACAGAGCCACAGATCGTAGCATCATCTTCTATAATTTCAAATATATCCCGTATCACTGTATCTGTTATATCTCTGATGAATCATATGAGAACTTCAATGAGGATCTGGGTGTAGGTATGGCTAAAGACAACATTAATAACCTCGTCCACACTCCATATTATTAAATTAATTAAATTCACTTGTATAAATAGAGAAAACAATTATTAATACTCAAAATGTTATAAAAAAAATTCTTAATTTAACAAGACGAGAGTCGAAAAAAAAGTTAATTTTATACTTAAGTGTCCACCTGCTAGTACCTGAGAAAATTTCAATCAATGTCAAAGTTAACCTACTGTCATCAAAATCTTAATTATATTATGCTTATAGTTCAGTACTCGTCTCTTGATTAGCTAAACGTCATATATCTCATTCGCTAAACAGCAAAAGAAATAAATTATATAATATATCGGATGTCTCAAAAGTCATTATCATTTAACGAATACAAATAACTTCATTATTGCGTAAACTTAATCAAAAGTCTTTTTTTTTTGTATTCGAAAGACGAGATTTGTAAGTTTTTATTCTTACAGACTAAGTTCATCAACACAATAGAAAAGGTAACACTTTTGACTACAAGAGAAAAATTAGACTTTTTTTCGATATTAAAAATTATATGTATTGTTGTTTTCGAAATTTATTCGAATTTCTTTTGTTATGATGACCATGAAATCATTCAGATCTTTTGCTATTGATTTTCAGTTGTTATTTGTTAGACATATTTTAAAAGAATCGAATAGTTAGTATCTTTCTTCAAAGCAGATTATATTTTTTGCTTGTCTAAAACTCTAACTTAAACCATTTTATAAATCATCTATTATTAAAATCTACTAATCCTTTTTGTTCTCGTCAGAATATATTAGAATAAATGTTTATAAAGTTAGAGTAAAACATCTGAATATGTCACGATCATCATAACAATAAAAAAAAAACATCGGGTAAATTTCGAAAGCAACAATACATATCGTTTTTAACATTGAAGAAAAGCCTAACTTTTATGTTGTAATCAAAAGTGTTACCTTCTCAAAACAAAAGCTTACTAGTCTCCTCTTTCGAATCAAAAGAAAAAAAACAAACTTTTGATTAGACTTATTCAATAATGAAGTTATTTGCATTTGTTAAAGTGATCATGATTTTCGGAGCACGCAGTGTATTCAAAATTTTAAGAGACTCGTTGTTTTTTTACGTCTTATATTACTTTAATAAGTTACTCATCACAATTAAACGAATAAAATGCAACTTACTAAGAAAATTTTTTGTTGTAAATTTGTTGAGTACACTTTATCTTGTGTCTGTGTCACTTTTTTTTTTTATTTTGTCAATTGATTCTTCTATTTACCTTTGCAGCAAGACAACCGTATTGATTTCTTATCATTCGTTATTTTATCTATTTTTCTTTTTTTTTTTTACTATTTTTTTTATAAAACGACATACTATATCGCAAATTGATGTACACAACGTGCGTTTGTTGTGTCTGAAACGATAGGCTTGAATGATTTGCATATAGTGAATCATGTACATGTTATATCGCCCACAAATATCGAACAAGTAAGGGGTAATGGGAAAAATGATATTATTTTTGTTATTTTGAAACACGTCATATAATGTATTATTTATGTATAGACAACAAAATGCAGCAAAAGAAAAAATTTCGACAGTTATTCACTTTTGTTTGTTGTCTATCGACTTACCAGGGAAAGATCCGAAGTGTGAGTGTCAGTTTTGAATGGGATACATCCCAGTTGGTAGAGCTTGACAAGCTAATTATCGTGATATGTTTCTTTTTTCGCTATAGAACTTCAAATGACAAAAGTTAATCGAATTTCGTAGTGAATTTCTTCACTTTGAATAAGTTTCGAGATAGATATTAGAAATTAGGAATTTCAAGGGTACTTAAAATTTAAAGAGCAATGTTCAAACATAAACAACGTTGCTTCCAATAGTCTATTTTTATATTACTTTAAGTGCAAGTTGAGTTTCAACTGCTGAATATATAACAAAGTTTTCCCTTAAGACTACTAAGATATCTCGAAGTCTAATAATTCTACAATTAATATTCATAGTGATGGTAGAGTTGAGTTTTACTAGGATATACTGTTCTAATATTCTTTTAAAATGATATAAAAATTGACCATTGCATAGGACATTGCCTATATTTTAATATTGTCCTTTAAATTTTAAGTACCCTTTAAATTCCTGATTTCTAACAATTGTCACCAAACTTATTCAAACTGAAGAAATTCACTACGAAATTCGATTAACTTTTCTCATTTGAAATTCTATGGCGAAAAACGAAACATATCACGATAATCAACTTGTCGAGCTATACAAACTGATATATATCTGATTCGATACTCAGACTCACACTTGGGGACCTTGCCTCGTTAGCATAATCATATATATTCATCGTTACATAATTCCAAAGTTTTATTTTTCAAACAAATTTAATTTTATGACATCAGAACATTAAAAGAATTGAAGGATTAATAACAAAAATATGTAACTTAGTTTATACGATAAATTCACACTTGTTTATAAATTAATACCTTAATGTATTCAAGAACATCTAAATGTCTGACAATCGTAAATAATTCAATAGGAATATTATAATAAAAGGGTCTAAAGTAATTGTTCAAATCTATTAACGTAAGAGTGATATGGGTATTGATAGCTGCTAACAGTTTTCGATAATCTCTGATAGACTATTGCAAATCATAAAAGAAACTTAGATGAAGATGTCAATTTGAGTGTTATGGTCAATGGTATTTCATAATCATTCGCATTCATACCCTTACAGGCATATTTGTTTGTGCAAGCTGTTTGTCTATTACATTTGTGAAAATTTCTTCTTATATAAAATACATGTAATTGTTGTTGGGACTGGTACGAAAAAAAAAAGTCTTTATGAATAAAAACTAAATCCTTCATTCACTCGTCCTCAATAATCATCATTCTCCTGAAGAAAAAATTGTTTCAATAAATTACCCATGATTCAAATACTTGACGCTATGCTCATGTGTATTTTAGGTTTTGAAATTGAGTAAACAATTTTCCATCAATTCAAAATCAAAATGTTAACTAACTACTATCTATTACGAAGCGTGAAAATAATATCAATGATAATTTTATTTCTATTTTTTTTTGTATTGTATCAATTTATGTATTTATTGTTTATATTTCTGTCAAATGAAAATATTTTGCTTCACTATTTTTTATGGTAAACATATTTTTGAACATACATCGATTTATTTGAAGAAAAAAAAAGCTTCACGCTAGTTATGTTGACTAATTATTTTATAATTCTCATTTTCATATTAAAAGCTTGATTTAATAGATATAAATACAACAATTTTATACTTTTCTTCTCAACAAATTATTGAAGCCCATTTTATTGAAAGAGAATAGTTCTATCAATGTTCAAGTGTCGATAGACTTAGAAAAATAAAAATATGTTAAATACTCTTTTATTATCTATATAACATATTACTCTATTCTGAAGTATCGATAATTGTTGATGTCTAAACTGCTGAGTAACTTGTTTAAAACTCTTTAATTTTTCCTTTCTTGAAATTACGTTATAACATGGCTACCTAATTCTATGAATTTTAGGATATGATAAAGTTACAGAAAAAAAGAAGCTTATTCTAAACATATCAGACTGAAAAAATGATCAATTATAAAGTTTTAGTTTGTCTAAGTATATGAGTGTTTACATCATTTTAATTAAAATACATCGTTTGAGTTAACATCGATGTAGGTGTGTGAGATTCTTCTCTTTTCTTACATTCACCACTTGTATCAAAGCCTTCTACTTCAAAATTGATCATAAAAAGAAATAATATTCTCATTCAACATCTTTGTTTTTCATAAGTTATTATTCATTGAAGTTTTTCTTATCTTTTATTGCATTTGAGTAAATACATTTTTCATGTTACTTATTTCTTTGTTCTCCAATTTTGTTCGTTTGTCAATATTCTACTGTATCTTTGAGTTATTTTTCAAGTTTATTTCATTTATCATTCTGCTTTCACTCTAGCTTATTCATTACCAATTTATTTTTTTCTCTATTCATATACTTTTACAGTAATTATTTTTATTAGATTCTTAGAGTATCTGTATCTAGGAAAAATTTTTTTAAAAACTAATTATTATAAGAGTAAGTCATCTAGCTTACAAATGCTTTACTAATCTAAATTTTTTATATTCAACAAATAATATTGAGTTGTAATTTTATTTTTAGTTTTGACGTGTATGATTAATTTTAAGTATAAATTTAAATATTGAAGAAAAAATTGTCAATAGAAAAATTAATTGTTATTTTAGATAATTATTTTTTCAAAATCTCTTAGAATGGTAAAATGGGAAATCGAAATACAAGCATCTGGAATCACTGATATTATGAGAATAAATATATTGAGTACATTAAATACTTCTATTGATACACATGGATCATCAAACAAATATGAAGTCGCAAAAGATGTTGTAAATTGGCTTAATGGAGCTTATGGAGAATATTGGAGCGTAACTATTGGTGATGTAGGTGCATGGGCATCCTATTTCAATTATTTTGAATCCAAGTTCTTGAGAGTCAAAGAGACAACAATAGGATGGACGATTGACATTTTTAAACAAACGAAATAAGAAATAAAATCCTACGAAAATTTTAGTTTTATTTATTTTAAAAAAATGTATATTATGATGATTTTCATTACAAGAGTAACGGTATTGTGCTTGAATCTTTAATCATTATTCAAAAATAAAATAAAAATATTGAGAGACAACTAAAATGAGCGTCATACTTTATGTAGTCGGTTTTATTTTCATCGAAAGTGTTTTGCTTTATCTTCTAGAAATGAAGCTATCGATAGATGAATGGTGAACTAATGTTAGATAATAGACTACTTTCCAGAATCATATAAAAATAGAGAATATTTCTATGGATCAATATAGTTGATGTCTATCAAAGATTTTGAAGGATAACTAACGAACTGATGTCATAGATGAATTCTATCGAACCAATACAAGAGAGTATGTAACTGATTTCAAAACAATTGTTTGACTTGTCATTTCTCCGTTTAGATATTTGCAAATGAATCAGGACACAGAAAGGAGTTGTCAGCAAAACTTCAACAAATTCATCTTAGTTGAGAGATAGAATGTGATAATTATCAGCCAAGCGAAATGTTAAATTTTAGTACTCAAGGATAGATTGGTCTACAGCAAGTAAAAGCTTTTAATTAACTAGAACAAAAGTCATCGTATTTGAATATGAGAAAAATTTCTGATAGACGATAGATGAGAATGATGAATGTATTGAAAACAATATCCTATAGATATTGCCAAGAAAACTTTACATTTTTCGTTAGTAATTTCGTCATTGTGCACCTTTTTTTTTCTTCTTACGTTCGTTATCTTTCGTTTTGATGAGTAATGGAGAAATAAAAAAGCTACAATAAATAGTAGCTTTTACTTCAATAAGATGACACAATACATCGCATACTCTTTCTTCCACAGATCATAACACGTGTTTTTGGTTATCAACAACAATAAAAAGTATTTATGTCATGATCATTTAAAAGAACATAATGATTTTATCGGTATCCAACTTCTGTCATTAGCTGACCAAATCAATGCACTTTCAAATAAATTTAACAATGTTGCTCTATCAAAGCCATTTTGTCTAGCAGATCGCTATCAATCGTGTCAGGAGGCGTATAGAACACTCACAACCAGGGTTGCCAGATCATCCGAATTTTTCGGAAATTTCCGAATTCTGAAGTTTTTTCCGACTGCTTTCCGACCGTCCGAATTTATCCGAATTTTTGAGAATTTTCCGAATCGTATTATTTTTAAAAATTTTCTTGTTATTATATTTTCTGTTGAAAATTTCGAAAGATTTCATATTGTGGCATGTTTATTTTCTGGTGATCATTCTACAATTTATGTTATTCCGATGAATAAGAAGAGAATGGAGAGAAAATACAATACCTTATCATATGAATCAATAGTATCCCTTAAAAAAACTTAATCTGAACGTAAAATCACTTCCAGAATCAGTTTTTATCGGGCTAAAACGTGATGAAGTCGTCATCGCTGCGGCTTCACATCGTGCATAACCTAGTCTGAAGCTACGGAGCTCTGGAGAAACACTCTGGAGATATCAGAATTTTATTATTATCATATCAACTGAAGAGTGATAAAATGTGGTAAAATTATAGAGCATGATATGGGCTACCACTATCTATAGAAAGAAAATTTCTTCGAGCCTTTCTTAAGTAAAAGTGTCAGCGTCACTACTTTTGGTATGCCCTAAGTAATTCTAATTATGATGAGGTATTATATAATATACCTGCAGAGAAAATAATCAAGTTTAGAAAGCTTTTTTACCTGAAAAACTCAAATATAAATGTCAAAAAGCTTGAAAATCACTTTCCGAATTTTTTCCGAATTGGACAGGTGATTTTTTCGGAATTTTCCGAATTCGAGCTAAAGAATTCCGATTTCTAAGATTTTGATCTGGCAACCCTGCTCACAACAAGCAACACAAGAACATATTGATTTTGCTATAATATCTATTCAAGTTCTCGAATAAGATGTCAACAATCTTCAACATAGTTATTCCACAGGAAGCATTATTAAGGAATCGTTTGCGTGTGTCGTCCACGTATAAAACAATGCAATAGGCAGTCAGTAGCTGCTTCTCTAAAGCAATCAATGAGATTCATCAATTAACACATCAAAAACGTAGTCTATAATTTTCAGATAAGGAATAGGAATTTTAAGACTTCTCTTTTGTTAAACATGGTGATTTATATAAGATCGATCGAGATAAATCGAATGTCAGAATGGTGACAACTCATACAGTAGGACTTTTTGAGAAAAAAGGGAAGAGATGATGGGTGATTGTGACCCCTTTGGATGAAGGTCAAGAAAAGTGTTATTTACAGTACTGTCAACTGACGATGTTCGTCTTCATCGAAGTAAAAGAACCTTGTGCTCGTCAGTTACGATTATTTACATTAAAATAAGTTTTCAAAGACACATATAGTATGGAATCAAGAGCATAAAAATGCTTTAATTTGACCCTAGGAGCTCAAATGATAAGAACTAAGGATAAATATCGATTATCTCAAATGGAATATTAATCTGTGTTTTGTTTTGAAAAAAGTTGAACACATGAATTTGAACTGAATAATCAACTTTAAAATTGAAACATTTTCGACAATTGATTTCTATCGTTTGGGTAGGGATCTTGTACGAACTCTATTTAATTTTGTATATGACACAAGAGTATCAATAACCTTGAGAAAAAAAAAACATGCAAATATCGAGCATAAAATTCTCTAGATCTTGATAATTGATACTTCCAGTTTTAATGAAAGAAAAAAGAAGTATCTGATTATCTTTCTAACATCTATTCTTATTTTAAAAATAATTAGGTAACTTTGAAGTGTTTTACGTTTTAATAATCTTGAAGTTTTAGTTTTATTTACCTTTCAAAATATAATTGAATATTGATAATAGATTTGTAATATTGTAAATGTAGTTGATTAATTCTGATTCTAGATAAATTTTCTTCAAAATCTATTAAGTTAACGAAATGGGATATTGAAGAACAAGCTACTAGAATAACTGATGTTACTTGAGTTGATGTATCAAATATAATAAGTACTTCAATTGATATACATGGATGATCAAGAATGGAAAAATAGCTCGACATGTTAAAAATAGACTCAACTTACGAAAAGTATTGGACTGTATTAATCAGTGATACATCCAAAAGTCAGCTAGCTTTGTCATATTGTTGCTAATTCAAAATATTTGAAAATCAAAAAAAAAAACAAAATTGGAATGGACTATTGTAATTTTTAGAGACGCTGCATAATAAAAAAAGAAAACTCATTGTAAGATTGATTTTATAATAATAATTTTTATTTTTAAGATCGGCAATATTGTATTTGTATCTTTCGCAATCATTCAAACAGCTCTGTAATCAGAATTTCTCTACTATTTTCACTATTCGAAAGAGATTTTTCACAGGAACTTCTGAAAAAAAAAGTCAAACTAACAGATAGAATTCGCTTCCTTCTATTTTAAAGGTATGTTCAAGAGAACAAAAACCAACGTTAAATAAACACACGCCTCACTCTGCAAAATATTCCTTGTTTTTAGTGCTTAAAATCAAATAGTCTATACATAGCTATGTAGATGTCTGAATACTTTTTCTAACCACTATACAAGATCAATCATATAAAGTATTGAATAAGTCATATACAGTCGGCACTAAGTCTAACGTTCCTATTCGAACAACAATGACATCTTGATATCGACCTTGACTATTGTAATATATGAAACGTGATGTCAATATAAAATGTGATGAAAATGTGTTGTATCAGAAAAAAAAGATCAAACCGGTCACTATTAGATGATAGTATGAGTCTTTCAGCTAACCAATAATGATATGCTTTGAAAATTTCTAGTCGATTAAAACTAGTATAAGAACACTATATTAAAAGGTTGATCAGTTGTAGCCATCTGGTGCATATGATATAAAAGTCTTGTTTCTATTTCGCGGCATAGTTCTTCCACATCTCACCATTTCTTTTTTATTCTCTTTCCATTTGTCTATTTGAAAGGTAATTTATCCGGAGTCAAATGTTTTTTACGAACTGCCTGACACTGATGTTTTTTTGTGATGCTGTGCGCATATCTAAATAGATCACTATGGAGAAAGAAAAAGAAAAAAAAAGCAAGCAGAAATGAGGAAAAATAATAATATACGGTGATACTTTGTTTTAAGTGTCACTTCTTGGTAACAATTCTTCTCAAGCAAATTTTTTTTTGTGTTATAAGCAATTAGAAGTGTGTCAAGTTCCAGCAGCTGCTACGTTGATCGCGAGTAAATTCGTCCTCATTACTTACTCTGATCAATCCTATCATAAACAATTTGGAATTCGACAAGCCATTTCATTTGACACGACATTTTTCAATTATTTGGTCACGTAAAATCTAACACATTATGCAGTGTGGTATGTGAATGATATTGTCATAGAATAGCTCGTAGGTTTCACTTTTGGTTACTGATATTGCACAGCTCTTATTATGACAAGAACAAGATAAAGATCAAATGATCAGTCAATTATCTTTGAACAAATACTGATAACTCTCTGAAGATGAGACAGAAGTTCGATTTTCTAAGAATTATGCTAGTACTGTATGCTTACCAGTCAAATTAATACGCTCACCACTTAGTGTTACACCTAGAACTTTTGAAAGAAATAAGACAAAAATTTCGAATGCAAATGGCAATATAGATTATAGGCTCTCGCGATATCAGCACAATTCTTAGCACTAAATTTATCTGTCATCTTCATATAATTATCAATGTTTCTTCGAAGATCATCGACTGACCATTTGACCATAAATCGATATAGTTTAGTAATACATGAAAACTATGTATTCTCACATTCTCTTTCAAACAATCAAAGACATTTTCGGGTGACATTTAGATCATTCTGTAGATCAGGTGATCTTCGATATGACATCTGTTTTTTTTTTAATTTTCTAATGGACAAGTATTCGTTTGTAGAACTAATTATGAAAAGAAGGAGTGTAAATTTTAAGCCAACCTTCAGTAGTCGAATAAGTCTTACTGTTACTTCTATCTTCTAAACAATTATAGCTTAAAAGCAACGCTATTCGAGCATTAAATTTCTAAGGTGATTTTCTTTTTTTTTCCAGGAAAAAAAATGAATCCGTTCGAAAGCTCTAATGTCTTCATTAGAGTGAACTATTTTTTTAACGTAACTTAATTAAAAAAATTTATTAAATGGCTTTATCTGACGCTTAATATTAGGTGATTTATTTTAAAAAAAAAATATTATTGGTAGCTTGTCAACCGAAAGAACTATTTTTCGAAAATAAAAATTTTTTTTTGTTTTTTTTGAAGTTTGATTAAATATCTTTTGAGTCTGACTTTTTTTTTTCTAGAAACTTGTTACTTTTTTTTAACTTAAAAAATTCTTGTACTTAAAATAATTAGTTTTTAGTAAAAACAATTTTTTAAATAAAAAGAAAGACTTTTAGAGAAAAAAAAACTATTTGTTAACAAAAAAAAAAGTGTTTTTTTAGAAAAAAAAAAATTCCACTCAAAGTTTTCCCAAACCAATTACAGATTCAAAACCGTCGATCTCGACATCATTTTGATCAAATTTGATTAAAAAAAAGAAAAAATCACTGTTTTTGAAAAATAACTTTGTTGTTTGACAAACTCTCAAAAATTAATTTCAATTTAATTTCTATCATTATGATATCTAGGCTTCACAATTTATTTCTATCGATGTTTGCATATTTATTTGTGTTGTTCTCTGTTATCACTTTTACCTTCCTATGATATTATTGACGAGATAATTTGTTCTCTTAATTCAAACATATTGCTCGAAAATTGAATCAGCAGCTGAGCCGATTACACTATTTTCTTAAGTCTAAATCGTTGGATCTCGCGAGAGTAAATTAATATTTCATGTATATATCAATGTAATTTGACAAGAAAATCTTACTCTGACATATATTATAAATTAATTAGTTGTTCATTTCATATTTCGACTGATTCTTGTATTCTCTCTCATGAATCAGATGACTGTCAAAAATCAAAAAGAATCATTATTAAAATAAAACTTATTTGTTTACTTTCAAACTTAATACTAATATCATGTTGTAAATATTATTTCATTCTTTTCAGAAGGTATGATTCGATCTCGTTGTTCTCGTCCACAACAAACATTCGATTCAATCGAATATAGTATAGACGATTCGAAAATTTCATTTTTATTGGTACCATCATCATTAACTATAACAAAATGCTTTTCAATTGAACATTATTCACGTTTATATCCAGTTCTAATTACATTTCCATCAAATGCAATATTAAAACAAATTTTAGCAGAAAAAGAATTCATGACTTTGATATCCGAACATTCGTCATTATCAATCGAACAAAAGGATAATATTCAACAACAAACTAAAGCTCATTTTGAATTACAAGGTAAAGTTTTGGATGATGATATGCAATTTAAATCAATTGTCTCCATACAAGACTTAGTATTAATTACTAATAATAATATTCAATTGAAATTTCATGAAAGTAAAGATGTTCATATAAAGTCAGTTATCATAGATAGCTATCGTGAAAGTCTTCTTCATCGTCTACCAATGGAAAATGGTCAACGACCTCAAACTAGTCCACACCTTGTCTATCCAAATGAAAGTTTAGATTTATTATTTGATACATTACATGGTCAATTAAGTTATTTAACTGAATATTTACAAAGTCATTTTGGTGAGAGACATGAATTTACAACATATGAAATACAAAAACAAACTCCAATTGAAGGCAAACAATGGAATGAATGGGAAACAGGTATCTATCGAATGCATGGTGATAATGATGGTACAGTGAATATTGCTTTAGCTTCTGATTGGTAAGAATTTCTAGCTTTGTGTGATGTTTTGATTTTTTTTTTCATAATGAATTGCTTTTCTAATAGGGGAGCTGGTACACTCGAAGCAGCACTTGTTGCTAGTGCAATGATGAATGGTTTGGATCTGACTATGCAACAACAACAGGCTACACCTGATTTGCCACATTATACAATACATTTAGGTGATATCTATTATGTTGGTTTACCAACAGAAATTCAACATTGTTGTCTTGGCATTAAACCGCATTGGGCTGATCAAGGTGTTCGATGGCCTATCGGACAAAATGGTAGTTTGACAATACCAGGAAATCATGAATTATATAGTCGTGGCTTTGGTTATTGGGATTATTTTTTGCCAGCAGTTGGTTTATTCAATCCTGAAGATTTAACAGAACCTATACAATCACAGAAAACTTCATATTGGGTACTAGAAAATGATCAATGGAGAATTATTGGACTTGATACTGGCTATGATTCGTTTTCATTATTGGCTATTGATAATTTGTCAATTAAATTACCACCTGAATTAATGGATTGGCTCAAAACAGTCGTTGGTCTTAGTCCACAAATGACTGATAAACGTGGATTAATCTTTTTCTCACATCATCAAGTTATTAGTGCATGGAATGAAAAACCAAATACAGGTAAACATCAAAAGTTTTCACGATATCTAAAGCTTAAATCAAATTGTTAATCTGTAGACGTCTATATGATTAGTACCTATTTGATTGGCATACATTTAAAGAATGTGTCTCAAAACTGAATGAAAAAATCTTTTAACTCTTATATATATTTTTTTTTAGATTTCCCGGAACAAATAGCATCTTTATTACCCGAAGGGCGAACAGTTCTGTGGTTATGGGGTCATGAACATCGTTTAAGTTTTTATGAGAAACAAACTATTTCAACATCGATTGATTCAGGCAAAAATCTAATATTCTATGGTCGATGTGTTGGCAATTCTGGTTTTCCAACATTGGCAAAAGAGCTTCCGGTTAAAGCTCGTGAGACACAATTATTATTTTACGATGATCGATTATATCATTTTCATGACAATGAAATTTCACCTGATCTGTCATTAGGTTTCAATGGTTATGCTACAATGAAATTCATACGTCCGAATAAGTCAAGCGACATAAGTTTACATATGAGTTATAAAACTTTAAGCTTGCATAAGGATGGTCAATTAACCCATGAAAATCCAACTATACTTGTTAACGAAGAATGGTCAGTTGATTCGAATGGTAATGTTGTTCTCGTCAAATTAGAACCTGTGAATAAAGAGCTTACAAAAGCTGTACACACAGATATTAGTCAAAATGAACTAACACTAAATGAATCAAGCTGCTGTATAATATTGTAAGACAAGAATAAAATCAACTCAAACTGATAAAACAGTCATGCATAAAACACGCTTTCTCCTTTTTCTGTGACCATGAACAATCCTCTCCAGCTAAGTATTTTCGTCAGTAAAATTATGTTTTGAATAAACCAAAACATAACTGCCATTTCTCTTGTAGAAATGAATGTTATGATTAGTGAACTCGTCCATATCCGTTTACAATGCTTATAATTGATATCGCGTATTTTTTGCTTGATTATTGTTCGTTGCTTGATTTTTGTCATTCAATAAATTATCAAAAAAAACTAAACATTCTATTTTTCTTCTTCTTTCTATATGATTATTGACGTCGCCTAAAAGAGTTGAATGATGAAAAAAGCATTCAATAGAATTGATCGATGCTCGAATCAATAATCTTGCCTAAAATTTTCGAAGTAAACTTGACTTTTCAAGTCATTACTCTCTCTCGTCTAATTCTTCTGTTGTCAATGATTGAATAGACAAGCATAATTTCTAAATTGATCTTGATCAACTCAAAACACAGTTACTTGAAGAAAAGATTGAGCAAGTTTCAACTAAAAGCTGATTCATTATAAAAAGATTTTCAAATGAAGATCGAATGTTCAAATGAAATTCACGGCGATGTTCATGATCGATATATTATATCGATGAACACTTGTGCCTTATCGAATAGACTTCAAAAATAAGAATGACAATTAATCAATAATTGAAAATCAAATTCATTTTTGATTGTCAAAAAGAACAGGGGTTCATCTCCTTGATCATATGTCTAGAAGAGACTATGTCCCTGTTTAGTTACGCTATTAATCGAATGAGACCTAAGTCGGCGCAGATAAATGTTAAAAGCCGAATGAAACGAGTCTTTTTCAAAAAAAAACTTCGAATTCAAACTAATGAAAGAAGCTCTTCTCAGAGTTACTTGTTAATTTATCATTGAATCGATGTCTTGAAATTTTAATCAAATATTTGAATAAAGAAAATGGCATATCGACTCATATCAGAAATAAAATAAGTAAAAAAAAAAGAGAAAAACAAGTAACGTTCATCGACATTGAATGTCGATTCACTTGTCTCTAGACTGACGGAATGATGACAAAAATGTCCTTATGTTTTTAAATAAAAATGAATTCTGTATAATGATGAGTTTAGGAGAAATTATTAATATTTGTAACATCTTCTATATTACATACTATACATGTATTCAAATAGTTCACAAAAATATTAAAAGATGCTAACGTATATGAAAAAGTTTATGCTTTAGTTATTTATAACGACTAACATGCTGATTTATGTCAAAGTAATGGTCATTTCTAATAGGGACATGGCCAATTGTGACACAGACATGATCATTTGAGTCATAAGAATGGTCAACTGTGCCATAGAAATGGTTGATTGTGCCGTGAAAATACTGAAGTGAGCCATACAAACGGTCATCTGTACAATGAAAATGGCCAATTGTGTCAAATAAATAGTCCCCTGTACCACCAAAGCGGTACTTTTGTACTATGAAAATGGTCAGCTGTGCCATCACTATGGTACTTTGTACCACGAAAATGGTCACTTGTACCAAGTGTTACAGACAGACACAGGTGAATTTTCGTTTCTAGACCCTAGCCTTTCAGTCTAGGGGATGTTTTAAATGAAATGGTCTTTATACAATCGATTGTTCAGGGTCTGATTTCAATGTAAGTCTATATATATATTATTAGGTAGGAATGGCATGCTCCTTTTCTATTTCAACTGAAATAGCTAAACTATAGGATGTGTTTCTACTTGAGTATGAGTATTAAAAGATGAGGTCGGACAGCATACGTCAGAATTTGATGACTCAACTATTAAATCATGAGATAAAAGAACAAGTTCACAGAAAATATAAATTAATGTTTTTCTTTTAGATAAATTCATGATTATATTGATTTGTATGTTAAATTCATATTCATTGACGGTGTTTGTGAAATAATAAATGATTCAGCGCGAAATTATACTTTTGTTAATCGGATTGTATGTAATAAGCTATAAAGAAAATACTAAATAAATAATCGAATCATTCTGATCCGACAAAGTCCTTTGAATATATTTTGTGATGCGCAGTATTTATTTTGATAAATTTTTCATTAAGAATAGAAATTTGTAAACAAGGACAAGGAATTCAGTCAACTTGACATTTAACTGTCTCTTTATCTAGTGTTTGAATGGTTTTAAATTTGTTTTTGTCGTCGTCTCTATCAATAATATTATATAAAATACAATAAATAAATAAGTTCATAATCAAAAGAATCAAATAAATTGTATTCAGTAAGTTTTTATCGAATTCAAGTATACATATTTTGAAGAGAAAACGAGTTAGATGATTTTCTAAATTTCCAGAGATGTAATCGTATGTAGATTAACAACTAATTCGAGATGAATAAAAATTTTCTAATCGGTCTTATTTTCTTATCTAAGAACATCAAAAAAAAACAAGAATAAATTTTATTGAAGGCCTTTGTATAATTATGGATACATCGATTGTTTTGAGTGGGTGAGTGATTGTGAATATTTTCCTTAGTCAGACTTACACAACCCTAGTCTCATAGTCTAAAGTGATGTATTCGAAATAATTGATTGACGAAAACTACATTGAACAAATATAAATTGCTGAATTTCGGTGATGTGTACTGCGAGAAAATACACACTAATTAAGTCATTCTTTTGTTTTATTATTTTCACAAAGAAGATGAAAAAATATTTTATTTATTATGAATAAAATTATTGATAATATTTATTATTTTATTTTTACTATGAACAATATATACATAGAATATTTCATGAGAAATAAAAATATTTGTTCGAATATAAAGAATTAACTTTCGAGTAATTTTTTTTTTATTTCATCAAAATCTGTTTGAAGTGAAATCGTTAATTTTCTTAATTCATGATGAACACGTGTATTAGCTTTTTCAAAAACATCACGTAATTCATCTACTTTATGCACCAAACGTATATGTTCATTTTCATGTAATAATGGTTCACCAGCACGATCAAGATGATGTCTATAATATCCTATTTCACATGTAACATGTTCTCTTGTTGAATGATGTTTTCCACTACGATTTGTTATTGAATGATTATCATTCATTGATTGAGGTAGATCAACACGTGATTTACGTAATTCTAATTTCCATAAATGATATTTATTTGCACCCTCTGCTTGAAAATGTAGAAAATATGAATGATTAGATAAAGCAAGTACTAATCGAGAACATGTTTCACATAAAAGACCAAATTTTGCTTGTAGACCAAGACATGTTTCAATACGTGACCGTAAATGTTCACGTTTAGCATTTAAACGAAAACATTTTACATCTGATACAGCAAGACCAACCTAATAAAATAGAATTAATTATATGGATATTTTAAAATAAGAAGTTAACAATGTGAACATTAATTCTTGCAGGACGAAATTTTTTTTCCTATTAAAAATTATTTCTTTTCATAAGTTTATTAAATCTGACTCAAAAATTTTCTCATAAAAATTTTATGGTATTCAGAAAAACAATTTTTCTCATCTGTTACGCAGAAAGCTAGTTTTGCACTCACATTTTTCTAGGGATCGATTTTCTACTGACTATTCCTTCATTTTTTCTGTTTTGCAGAAATATTTGTTTGATTAGTAATTAAGTTTAAAATTCCTTCTGTGAAAAAGCTCCTGAACAATCAAATAGGTATCATATCCCTGAGAGACATTGATATAAAGACGCTATGACTAATATAACTTGTGCTCATAGAATCAACCTCCATGTCATCTTCATTCGGATATTTATTTGAGATCTGATGTTCATCCAGACTATCTGCTAATTCATCATAGGCGATATTGAAGCGACTCTCGTCACTGTCTTTGTTGGGAAGTGAATCATGTGAGTCGCCTTCGACTTTGTCGTTTTCGAAAGATTCCATCGGTTATGTTTCAATTATAAATAGAATAGACAAATGAAATATAGAAGCAATTTAACCTCTTTTCAAGAACAGCTATATATACAAGAGCAATAGAGAGTGAAGTTCTTATCGAACATTCTCGTAATACAATATGTCTGAGGAAGAGAGGAAAACTATGATATCATTGTAGAGTCACAGAGTGAAAAACGAATATCTGAGAAGAGTATATATAGCATCAAGAAAATTGATGTATAAGATGACAGTTGGTGCACTCCATAACCTCTATGTATAAGAAGTTTTAACACTTAAGTGTAAATGAAATATTTATCTCACCAGCAAAAAAAGGCGGTACACCCCTTGTACCATCGTCCTGAAAGGGTTAATAGTTTCTAAAGAAAACAAGTTTTGACTAAGAATGGCGATACACTTTATTTTCTTTTTTAATAAATTTTATATAATAAAATAAACTTCGATAGTAAGAAATTTGAAACTTTGCCTTTTTGATGGAAATTATTGTTGACAATTTTGTCATAGAATGTCTTTCATAATTACTTTATGAAAATGTTGTTATAAATTTTGATCAAACTACTTACAATTACATAAGTCGTAAGAAGTTCTGTTGTGAGAGAAAAAAATCTATAGAATTCAATTCTTGTACTTCGTATTTTTACTACAAATAGAGTTCAGTAGACTTTTTATAACTATTGTATTATAAAATAGAATCGTTCTGACATTTCATTCACAAGCTTTTACATATGTAAACTTAAATGAACTATGAAATAGAGTTAGGCCTCCTAGCTTATTATTACAGAAGTACACGAATTTCAATAGAGACATGCTTTGATGAGAGATAATTAATTGTAAAATTGGTCATGTTTTTTGACTTGCTCCTATCTGGAAATAAGAACATTAAATCTATCAATGTAAATGAGCTATGTGAAAGGCACGTTTTTTACCACAGTCGTATCTTGAAATAGGAACAACAAAAAAATTAAAAATTCTCAAACACAATAGCAAGCAAAGGTTCGAACTAATAATGAGCGGAATCAATCATTTTTGATACTGGTTCTAGTCAAAAATTTTGGATCTATTTTTTGGTGCTTAGTAATACATGTATTAGATACAAATTTGAGCTCATTTTCTAATAGTGTCAATGCATTCGAGAAAACTTGCACAATCAGTATGATCTTTGACGTCTTCTCTTCTAAAAATTTATTACTTTTCATTAATTGATTAATGCTTCTTTGATTCTATACGTTTATATTTTTCCTATTCAAACTGCAGTAGCAGACATCGAAGTGTTTTTTTTACATAAACTTTAGTGACACATAAGTCGTGAGAATGTAACATTTAAAATAAGTCTTACACAACATTCCCAATGAAAAAGGATTCGTACTAAATCATAATTAGTACAAATTTTTGTTAAAGATATTCATCGCTTATCATGTTCTACATGATGTACATAGTCTTGATTCAAATTTTGAAAACTTACCATAATATTCATAATAACAATATTCATTGTAAATACAAATATTGAATAAAGTACCATAGCTGCTTCACTACCTTGTAAAACTTGTCCATGTGGAAAAAATAGATCATCAAAATCATATTCTCCTGTAAGCATAGCTAATGTTTTTGGTACAGCATAAAATATATATGTAAATTGTGGTTTTTTATGCATAAATAACATATAAAATGCAATTATATAACCAATCCATATAAATACATAAATAAGACAAAATTTAAGAAATGTTAAAAAAACACTAACAAATAAAAGACCATATTTTCCAATTTTTAATGAATTCATAAAAACAAATAATAATAATGTCCATACACTAGCTATACCTAATGCTCCACATTCCCATTGCCATTTACAACGAAGACCAGTATCTTGTGTACAATAATTAAGATCAATTGAAAATAATATAGCACATATATATGTTTCTAATTCAAGAAATTTTATAAATATATCACGAAAATATTTTTCACGTTGAATTATTAATTGAAAAAATTCTTTGAGTAATACTATACATGAACACATTAATAATAGAAAACGTAAAAAACCTAAATAAATATATACAAATATTTGTTGTTATAAAAAATAAACAAAAAAAAAAAAAAATCTTACGAAGTAGAAGATTATTTGGTAAAGGATGTAGAGGATCTGTTATTAAACTATGACATAATTCTTTACAAGTATAATTTGCTGTATCATAATAAGATTGAAGAGGTGTTGGTGCAGCAAGTGCTACACCTGTATATAAAAAAACAAATAATATTTGTGAACATAATATTAAAAAATATAAAAAATTTCCAAATAATTGAAATTTTAAATCAACACATATTTTAACAACATCATGATCATAAACTGGTGCATAATTTGCTTCAGCAATTAATGATAATGGATGTTGTTTAAGCCATTCTGATGATGAAAATCGTTTATTACGACCAAATATACATCGATTACCAGCTGGACGAGCTCGTAAACAATCATCAATAACAGATAAATCAATAGCATCCTCACTAATAAATTGTTCAAGTAATAATGGTACTAATGGAACCATTTCTGACTATTAAAAATAAAAAAATAAAAGTCACAAATAATTAAATATAATATTTAAATGACTAATTTAAATAAACTAAACTAGTTTTTATTTTTTTAATAGAAATCTTTTGAAAATTTATCAAAATTTCAAGGTGGAAAAATAGTTGAAATTTTAATCTTGAAAATAATTAAAGACTATAGTATTCTATTAAGAAAAAATGTATTATCATATGACAAAAATTCTTAAAATAAATCAATCGAAAATACATTTATTATCAATCATAAGAATTCTACAATTACAAATTATTTCCAAATTTTAAAAATTTATTAGTTGATTAATTAATCTATTACTTGTTAGATAGAACTTTTCAAGATTTCCTTGACATTTGCATGTTAATCTTTTCTATCGTAACATATGTGTGTTTTCTTTTTTGTACAATATGAATGATGATAATGAATGTCAAGAAAACAAAACATGTCAAAAAAAAAAAAATTTTTTTTTGTATAAATTAAAATGATTTATATAAACTATCTTCTAGATTTTAATGAATATAATAAAATATTTTATTTTATGACTATTAAATTAATATATGTAAACTTTTTGTATGAAGAAAAATAAAAAATTTTCTAATAATTTTTATTTATTAAATAATTTTTCAATTATTTTCTTGCTTTTGGTTTTTTACTTACCATAGACAACATTCGTTGTATAGGTGTTTGATCATAATTTGAACCTGAATAAGCAACATTATAATGTTTTAAAAAATATTTATATGATCGATATAATTCACGTTCTTCATTAGGAATTCTAACACTAATAAATATTCGTACAAAATCAGGTTTTTTTAATGCTATTGAATATTCAAGTACATTATAAATATGACCATTAGCATTTATTCTTATTTGTATAATTGCTGCAAAACGTCTTGTATCTGATACAAAATATGATGCTATATCTAATTGATCTTTATCAATAGTTGTTTTTAATGAATCAGCATTTATAAAATCTCCTATATCAACATTTCGATGTAACCATTTACTACTTAAAATATATTTAATACATTTTAATGAACCTTTTTCAATTGCAATTACAAATGGTGTTTTACCATTAACATTTTTTTCAATAAGTCGTTGTAATGCCTTATGAAAATATACATATATAGTTTTATTTAAAAAAATTAAAAAAACAACTTACAATTAATCGAGTTGTACTTGAACTAAGTTGTTTAAGTAATGATATAGCTCGACATAAAACAATATAATTACATTGTTCTGTTGCATAATGAAATACACTTGAACCAATATTATCTTTACATGTTAATGATAATGGATCATGTTCCATTAATAATGTAGCTGTTGATGTCGATTCAGATTCAATAGCACATAGTAATGGTGTTTGTCCTCGGATGTTTAATAACATATTAGCTTGAGATGTTTCACTTATTAACACACGCATTATTTCTTCATGTCCAAGTCTAGCAGCTAGATGAAGTAATGTTTGACCTTGAACTATATCGGAATCTGTACTTTCATCTCGTTTTGGAGATATTGAATGATTATTCATAGTTGATGTTATTAAACCAGTTGTTACTTCAACAATTGGTGCTGAAACAAGAGAAGAAACAGTTATATTTTGTTTTAGATTTTCTCTAATACGAGCAATTGTTTCTTTATATTTTTGACGTTGACGTTGAGTAAGTGTTGCACGATGACCAAATTTTTGACCATCATCATCATCATCATCATCCCAATCTAATGAACTATCAATTGTAGGTTTTGGTGGATTAATACGTACAGAAGAATTTCTTTTAAGTTTTGATAATTTATTATCACTTGGAAATTTATTATCATTTGGAAAACTTATTTGTTGACCAATTGGACTATTAGGTTCAGAATGTGAATCAATTTTTCGTGGAAGATATTCTTCATGCATCAATCCTTCGAATGGTTCCTGTGGTCGTGGTAATTTTGGTGAAATTATAAAAAGTTGACCTGGCATTTGAATCTATGATGTACAGAAATGAAAAAAAAAAATTTTTTTTTTTATCTTTTTCTCTTATTTATTTATTTATTCATATTAAATATGTATAAAGGAATAACATTTTAGACATTTTTCTTTTATCATATTCATCTAATATCAACAAGTTTATCGAAAGATTTATACAAGGTTTATTATAATCGTTCTCACATCATTTATTTAGAAAAGAACACATTGACTTTGTTGTAAAAGAAACAAAAATCTGTAGTAACAGAAAGAAATTGATTGACAGTGTCAAAAAAACGTATACGTATTGAACTTAGAATTTGTTTTAATATGGATAGAAAAAAAAAGCGAATAAAAATAAATGACATAAGAAAGGTGTATGTTTTTTTTTCTTCTAACTGCCTTACATATTCCTTCGTCAATATTTAATCTTTTAAAAACCACCTATGAAAAAAAAAATTCGTTCTTTTACTTATCTCATTCTCAACAAATGTAACAATCTTTACTTACATTTTCTTATGTTAAAGAATTATTATTCTATTGATCTAACGAGTAAAAGTTTTATTCTTGATTTTCTTTTGGTTGTTATCACGTGTAATCTTATATTGATATATTTATCAACCTTTATTTGTATAGAGAAAATACTTTTATAGATTTTTGTACTAAATGAAGAACAATTTATATAGACGTCTTCTTTTTTTCTTTTTGTTGTTGATATCATTTAGAATAACGATGGATAGGTTGATGAAAGATAATATTAGATTTGCATATCAATGATACGTGTTACTGACGTGGTTGCTTATCATTATCTTTCTTTATTAGTGCTTAATCATAATAAGAAATAAGTTTCAGACTTCTTGACCTTATTTTGTTTATTATCATTCAGATAGATATCTCATTATGTACATATAAGGAAAAACAAAAGAAAAATATTAATGAACTATGATAATGCAATTGTATCTGATCGTCTTTGAAGACGATAATGTTTTCTTCGTTGATTTGTTTTATCATCTTTTGTTATTACATGATCATTACAAACACTTGATGTTCGTCGTAATTGTGTTGTTCGTTTTGTATTAACCATTAGCATTTGTTCATGTTCATTATCAATAGGAGTTTTTACTTTTTGTCGATTAGGTCGAAATATTGCTCGTAAATGTTGTAAAGCTTTTTGATGTGATGAATACTGTCGACGTTGAACAGTACCAATTGTTTGACGACGTTGAAGTTTCATTGAATTAGTTAAAATTGATGTTGTTGGATAACCAACATCCGATGTTTCAGAATTTTCATCATTATCATTCGATTCAACATCATTAACATCAGGCTATAATAAAAAGATTCAAAATAAATATTTTAATTAATAAGTCTAAAACTATATTAATCATATGTTATATTATAATATATAGAAAATAAAACTAAATGTAATATGTATTAAATACAAATATTAGATAAATATTAGTTTTCTATTAATCTTATTAGTAACTATTAAATCTATTTTAACTTAATATAACTTACATGTCGTTTTTTCTTTTAATCTAAGAATGTGTAAGAATACGTTCATCCTAGAATGAATTTTTCATGAACAAAAAAAAAAAAAAAAAAAAAATTATTATATGTATATCTATTTTTACATTGAATAATTCGACATTATTTATTTTATAGTATAGCAAAATTAGAATTAAGAAAATAAAGTTAAATAAATAAAGAAACTTAAAACAATTTTTATTTATATTGACCTGTTTCTATTAAATATCAAATCTATTCAATCAATAATATTTATTCTCAAAGATTTATTTTTCTATAATCACAAGTGATAGAAAGAATCTTATATTTCATTCTCATTTTCTCGAATTTTTATTTTTTGTTCAAATCTGATAATAATTTTTATTTCATTATCCTCTTATTGAAAATAATTTTCTATCATTTACGATAATAAAAATAAAAACATTGCAAACAAAATCTTAATTGATTAATTTTAATACTCACTGTACATATATAATATGAAAAAAAAAATATGATTAAAATATTACTCACTAGACTAATAGCATCTATAGGTCTTGATGATTCATCAAGTTTAGATGTTACTATCGGTGAACTAGGACGTTTTTTAGTACGTTGTTGTTGTTGTGTTGTTATACCAGCTGTACTATGTTGTTCATTTTTACCACCCCAACGTAATCGATTAATATTTTTAAAAATATTTCTTGATTTTTTTGTTATATTTTCATTTACTTCTCCATTATCTCCTATTTCTGAACTATAACTATTAGTTTCAATATTATATATTCCATTCTTATGATTTATTGTATGATCAATAATATCTTTAAATTCTTGTCGATCAAAATTACTCACTTGACTTGTTATTTTTCGAGATTTTTTTAAATCATTTGAAAATCGTGGTAATTTTTTTTTAGCTTTTAATATAATATTTTTTCTTATATTAATACATCGAATATATTCATCACCCGATGCATGTAATACAGGTATACTACCAATTGATGTTGAATTTGTAGTTGTATCACCATAACAAGCTAATTGTGTTAAATCATTTTGTTCATTTGAACTATTTTGTTGTTGTAAAACAGGATCAATAATAACATGAATAATTTCTTTCCATGCAATATGTGGTTGCCAATCAGGATTAGTTGAATTTTGATATGTTTTATACATTGATATTTTCATATTTGTCATTAATTGATCAAATACAACAGCTAAATTTCTTACAACACAATAAGTTAATATATTATGTCGAATATCACTTGGTTTTGTTCGACATGAATCATAATAAATTAAAGCATGATTTTTAATTAAATAATCAAGTTCTATTTTTGAATTACGACGTACACAACAAGCAAATGCATGAACAAATATTCGTTGTATAGTTGCAGAATTTTCTTCAATAAATGGATCACCATCCATTTGATAATAACGACTTAATGTTGTACATAAAGATAAAAATGTTGTACAATTATTTTTTATTTGTAAAATACCATCTATATATATATATATGAAATCAATTTTTTATTTTAAATTATAATTTATTTTTAACTTACCAAAACAATGTTCTAAATGTTTTTGTGCAATAGTACCCCATCGATGAAGATTACGACGTTTAAAAAATGAATCAAATATTATATTCATCATAACTGTTGAATCTGTCATACATGATATATAAAATGGTGTTTGATAAGTATTAGTTAAAGCATCAGCAAGTGGATCACCAAATGATTCAAAAAAATAATAATCAACTTGCATATATAATGATTCACCTGTTTCTGAACTTAAACGATATTTAACAATAACTTCCCATGTTACATCATTACGTTTACGTGATGATATTATATCACCATCAGGATAAAGTATTGTTGGTCGACAACCAAGAGCATTTTCTAAATCAGAAAAATGTTCTTCTATATTTTCACGTAATAAATGAAAATCCCAACGTGGATATTGTAAAAATATATCACGTTGAACTAAAACTGTTAAAAGACAACGAACACTTATTCGTGTTATATTTTGTTGATCATCATCAGATTCAGCTGATTCATCATTTTTTGATGTATTTATTGTTGCTAATGAACCTGATGCAACACTAGATACTGGTTTAATATCTTGATTAACAATAAAACCATCAAATTGATAAAAAATATATGTTGATGGTCCTTCAGTTTCTGTATCACGATAAACTTGTACACTTTGAAAACGTGCATAATCTTTTCTATGCATATAATTAAGAACATGATTAAGAATACATTCATGATTAAGACCATCATATTCAAAAAGATGTGATTCAAGTAATATTTTAACAATATCTTCATAATCAGTACGATCTCCACAAGTTGCAAGACATGCTAAAATAAGAGGTGATGGAATAAGCATTTGTTTTGTATCATACATATTTAAAAGTTTATCAATAAATTCATCACGTTGTATTAATGGTAATGAACTTAATTCAAGTTCATCAGCATCTGGAATATCATTATCATTTGTATTATTCATATTATTAATATTATTATTATTATTATTATTATTATTATTAATAAGAGCATTTATTGATAATGGTGGTTGATCTCTTGGATCAATATTTGTTCGTAATTGTTTTTGAAAATATTGTTCAGCTAATAATTTTCTATGTATATCAAGTGATGATGATTGTAAACGAGAATCTTTTCGTTGTTTTGTTCGATGTGTTGTTGTACTATGTTCAACACCACATGTTTTAAGTATATATTCATTTGGATTTCTATCAAATAATTCTTGTTGAAAATTAGGTATTAATAATGATAATGTATCAAAATGCATTGATAATGTTGGTGATATTAATGCATCACATATTATTTTAACTGTATCTTTATCTCCAACATAACATGCATAATGTAATGGTAACCATCCACGTTCCGTTGTTAAATTCATTGATAAATCTAACCAATTAATATTTTTATCAAAAATTTTTTTAATTAAATTAATTTTTTTATGTGCTATTGAAAAATGTATTAAATCACAATATATATTTTGATATAATTTAATAAATGATGTTTGAAATAAATTATAAATTTTAATATTTTCATTTAATATTGGTTTATCAATTTGTTCCATATATAAATATGTATGTAAAGGTGTATAAAATTTAAATAAACCATGTATAGGTGGATGAAGATATTGTTCTTCTAATTCTATACCTTCTTCAATTAATGTTGATATTGTTATATTTGTATCAATTAATTGTTCAAATGCATTTATTATATATTGACGTGAATTGTCTGTATCAATAGTTATATGTTTCGTTAAAAAAAATTTTTTTTTTATACGATAATACCAACGCCATAATGGATATCGATCACGTGGATAACCATATGAATCATATAATAATAAAAGAAGAAAATGTAAATTATTAAAATGATCAGGTTTTCTTATAACACCATTTTCAAGTTTTTCTAATAGATCAATTAAATAATTATAACTAAGTTCTTCATTTGGAATTTCTTGTGTACCAAGAAATGATATTGGAGTTGAAACACGATCTAAATGTAAATATATTTTTTTTTTAATTAATAAATTATTAAGATATAATTAATTAATTTTTTTTTGTTTGTTTTTGTATATAACTAAAGAAAGAGACATTAAACAGACCTTCTTCATCAATCAGAACAATCCTTGGTATCATGATAGAATCGAATAATTTAACTACTATGATAATGACAGTTTTCTTTGTTTCTAATAAATTTAGCTAAAGCTTTTTCTATTTGTTTACTATTAATTAAGTGTTAATAAATGTATGTGTGGAAACAATGATGATTGATGTTATTGAAGTTTTTTGTTTTTTCTTCTGAAATGACGAATAAAAATTATCATATCCATTATAATAAAATATGAAAATTATAAAAAAACGTATTTATTATTCATTATATCTATTATCATTAATCAATATGAATATTAAACTTACATAATGTTAAATTATCTTTATTCAAATCTTCAATAGATGTATGTAGACGTATTGAGTTGCTCATTCGTAGTATGAAGTAATAATAATCAATATGAAAATGACAAAATTATAATTATTTTCAATATATTACGCTTGTTCTTTCCGCTATAACTACTATGACTATTGAATGCATGTTACATTCACTATCAAATCAATCTTATCATTGTACTCATCATCATCTTCTTCTTTTTTTTTTTTCTCTTTCTTTCTGTTGCTCTGTTATTTAGAGTAAGAATTCTAACACAATACGTGACATTATTTTTCTTTTGCTCTTTTTTTCTTCTTCTTCTTCTCTTTGTTATCTATTATTTTTATAAGTTATTTGTTTTGACAAAGTATAATTTAAATAAAATTAACATATAAAATTAAAAATAATATCAAGAGAAAACGAAATTTCGACTTTTTTTTTTTCTTGAAAACAAAATCTTATAACTAACAAATTACATTAAAAAAATACAAATGCTCTCAATTAATTATGCTAAAATGTTAGCATATGACAATTCTTATTAGAAATATAATTAATATATAAGATTATGGAATATTAAAAAAAAAAAACAACAACTATTTTACAAAGAAGATTAAATACACACAAAAAGAAGAATATATATATATATCTATACCTTTATTTTGATCTAGTTGTTCAGACATTCTTCTTGTACATATTAATGCACCTTTTTGACTAACATCAATTGACTGCCTCTATAAACGTCGAAAAAAAAAGAAAAGATAATTGAATCGATATGCACACACACCCATATATGATGTATATGATCATATTGCTTGTACTCTTATGCAATCATCCGTGCAAATCTATGAACTATTAATATACATGCATAGTTTGTTCATTCAAACTTACTCTTGATTTTCCTGTTTGAATTGGTAGTTGCATCATTTTCTATGAATACTAATATTTTGTTAACTACGACTTATTTGTTTGTATTTTTAAGATATGTGTCATAGAAGAATAACTTAGACCTCTAGCCTATATCTGATAGCATTGAATGTTGACAGAAAATCTGTCTTAATTCTATGAAATTATATTGCACAACAAATATAAATCGTCATATATGTATACGAATAACTATAAGAAATTGTTCTATAAATCAATAGTGCAAAAGCGAGGATAAAAATATATACAGAATTCTTTTAGTTTTCAAGTACTCTTTACTCTTAGAAGAAAATGAATGACATATAAGTGTTGACAATGATATCAAAAAAAAAAAAAGAAAGATAATACAATAATTAAATATGCAAGAAAAAAAATGAAAAATAGAAAGATTATCAGTCGATATTTTTAACTTGATTCTTCCCACACACATTTTGCCAGACAACATACATCACAATAGTATCATTCTGTTCATTTTTTTGTAATGTTTATCATTCATAAGCATGTCTTAACAATAAAATAAAAATAAAAATAAAGTTATAACAGATCATGAAAATAGAATGCAAGAACCTTAGTAGATAGTTAAAAAAAATTGTTCTATTTTATGATGAAAAAAAGAATTAAAACTGATTTTTAAATTAGAAATTTTTTGGCTCGACAATCAAGATTCTATCAATCATATGATTCGCAAGACTTTGTAGATTAGATAAGAATTTGAAAAAAATCGAAATAAAAATATTGATTTGTGATCTTTTTAATTAATTATTATTTTTGAGCAGCAAAAAAAAACTAAATAAACCAAAAGGACACAATTTTCTTATTATTATTGTTCATTAATAATTCATACTTTAATATTTTCATGTGTCAAAAGAACAACTACTAAAATCGCATCATAATCTTTTCTAAGATATTTTCAAGCTAACATAAATATAGATTATTTTTAGATCTAAGTATAATTTATTATACGATTAAATCTGTTCAATCGTTTACTACTTGGATTATTTTAAGTATACTTATTCGATAAATTGATTAAGATAAAAATAGATCTTGAAAGTACAAAAAAAAAAAAGATAAATCAGTCCAGATGCTTAATTAGTTTTTTTTCTTCTTCATGGTACTAGTAATTTCAGATTATAAACAAAAAGAAAATAATTATTTAATTAGACATAACTTTTTTTACATGACAATTTTTTTGCATCAAGATTATTAAAATGTATTGTAAATTTCCGTTTTGCTTTGTGATAAATGTATGTTTTCAATTAAATATATTCATATACAATTCAATAATGTAAAATATTTAAATAAATTAATTTTACTATTTTGTTTTGTAGTATGTTTTACTTCTTATATAAATCAACTTAGAATTATTTAAGTTGACGATATATTAAATCATCTTATGTATATTAATTTTTGAAATAGCTATTGAATTATCAGAAGTAAAGATTGATGCAAAAGAATTTTTGAAGTTTAATAAACTAATTTCAATATTAATTTATCATTGATGATAAATATACAAAAGCAAATGTTATTGTATCTGTATGACTAATATTTATGGGTATATGTTATGAATTCAAACAGGTCATCATCAACTTATAGATCTTTACTCAATTACAAACATTTTTATCAAGATGACAACTATGAAGGATATTGTAACAAAATAATTTATTTGAATAGTTAGAATATTGTATTGGTTAGATTTCATACATAAAACTAAATTAACAAAAAATATAAGCTGTACTCTAGCATCGATATATGTTAGTTTTTTTTCATATGTTTATCAGACCAACTTGTCCTTATGTATGACATTGTAAATGAAATAATGTATCAAAGGTCATGAATCAAAGAAAGGAAAATATAAGTAGAACAACGATGATAAGCTGTTAACACAATCCTTAAGAGATTAAAGTGTGAAACTCGATGAAGTTGTTGAAATGATAAATAAGAATATTTTCTAATATAATACATTTCCGTTTGTTAATTATTGTCTAGTCTTAATTTGTGTCGATAATGAAAAATATCAATCGTTATATATCACAATGAGTGTAATATATAGAACTCATCAAGTTGGTTTCGGAGCAAGATTCTACTTCAGTCATACTGTAAAATTAACAGTCCATCATGACATTTTTATTATACGTCAAGACTGTATGAGACATGTAGAAGATGTATTAGCAGTTGAATTCAGAGCAGTATGAAAATTCAAGTTAAACAATTTTGTTAAAAATAGCAGACTCAACAAACTCTAGTGAAAAAAGAATAGAAGATTGGTATTTCAAATGTTACACAATAATCATACTTGACACTCTTTTTTTAATATGTATTTTAAAAAAATATTACAAAACTTTATTGTACAATATTTTTGTTTATCGTCAGTTGATCTTATCGAAAACAATGACGATGAGTATTAAAGAAATATTGTAGCTTCTAAAAAAAAAAACACTTAAATTCTCAAATTAAATAAAGATTGACACATTTACGAAGTTCAAAAAGGATTTTCCGCTCTCATTGCAGATCAATGATGTCAATGCCCAATTCCAATGACCTTCTGATAGGAGCTCGTCTGAAAATCTTGCTAACTATTCAGATTTCGAAGCTAAGATACAATACTCAGATATATAGTCAACTACGCTTCGTTCTAACCACTTCTTCCTAGAATTGGAAACAGTCGACCATTAATTCAACGAAACATAAGTATTGAATGAAATTGCAAATGTTTTGTACATCTATTGAAAAATTTTCTTTTGTCAACATATAAACTAAGAAAATTTATAGATTTCGTAAATATGTCAATTCCTTTTCAATTTTCTTTTATAGAAAACTACAGTATTTCTTCACTCTTCATCACTACTTTCTATCAAATTACTTGTTAATACCTAAATATCTTACGCAATAAAGACTTGAAACAATTTGTCCATGTAACAAAAAGTTCAATCTGTTTCATTGTTGCTGTGCTCTCAAATAAAAATAATTTTTATATATTTGTATTATGTCTAGGATAATTACTCGAGATGATTCTTTCTCATAGAGGTATGAATGAAGAGAAGATCATATTTGCAAGCAAATGTCTCTCTCTTGTATTTATATTATTATGTATAATAAATTAGAATTTTCATTTTGATCAAATACTATTTTTCATTTAATATCTATATATCATTCGATTCTATTGATTTATACAAAAAAAAAAAGACAGATCAGACAAATACTGATATGGAATGTATAACAAAAATAAGAAAAAATAAGTTAATATATAATTGAATTCTATTATTAAAGTGCAAATGATGAACATCCATTAACAGCTGCTCTTGATCTTGGTACATTATTCATTAGAATAGCACCATTAAATGCAATTGTTAAATCTGTTTCATCATTTTCATTTTCTTCAATAATACGATTTGTTACATGATTATTTGTCATATATGTATATAATTGTTGTGGTAATGAATGATACCATGAATAATCTGTTTTTGATTGTTGATTATCTTCTATAGAATGATTTATTGAATTATTATTATTAGTTAATAAACTTTTTGTACTAGTTAAATCATCATAAACAATTGGTGTTGGTATAGGACGTGGTGGTGAACGACTTGAAAAATTATTATATATTAAATCACTTAATGCTAAACTATCACGATTACGTTGTATTGTTAATTCTTTTTTTATTGGTGTTAATAATGTTGATGTTGTATATAAACTTTGTTTTGATTCAGCTATATTTAAATTTGATGATAATGTATTTGTTGATTGTAATAATTTTGTTTTATTTAATTTTATACGATAACAACAACAACATGTTATTATTATACATATAAATATAAATATAAGAATAAGAATTAAAATAAGTATAATATAAAAAATTAAATGATTTGTTCGTATAAATGTATAAATATTTGTTATAAATTTAAATGGATTTATTAATGATGATAATGATGATGATAATATTGTTAAATTATATTTATATATTTGACTTGATTCACTTATACCAATACGATTAACTGAATATAAACGAAAATAAAATTCATTTGAATTATTATTTAATTGTAAACGATTTAAATTTAAATAATAAGGAGATTTAATTGTTTGATCAAGAAATTTCCATGTATAACCATAATCATTTGATAATTCAATAAGATAATATTCAGATTTTATTGATGATTTCCATACTAATTCATTATGTTTATTTATAAATAAATCATATGGTGGTAATGGTGAAGTTTTTTGTGGACCTGTTTGAATAGATTTATGTATACATGAACCACATTGAATTGTACAAGCACATAATATAAATTCATAATATTGATATGGATCTAATTCATCAATACGTAATGATGTTATATTTGGAGATAAAAGTTGTTTTATTGTTTTAACACGAGTTGATGATGTATTTATTAATGATGAAAATGATAAACGATTATCATATGTTAAATCATATGAACGAAGAATACCATTTAAAGATTTTGGTGGTTGCCAATCAATTTGTAATGATGTAAATGTAACATATGAAAAAGTTAATTGATCAATTGGACCAGGTACTAAAAAAAAAACAAACCATTATTATCGCATGAAATAGAATTTTATAGAAGTAGACAAACTATTTCTAAAGAGGAAACATTTCCAAGTGTCACATCGCTTTCCAACTGAAGGTATGAATACCATGTAGACCTTAATGATCTATGAATACCATGGAAAGAGTTCGTGCTACTAGCCTATTGCTGCCGAGATATTGCATTTTTATGGCACAAAGCAGTGGCCACTCAGAAACATTATGGAAGCTGAGTTTCGAATTTCGATTTGAAACTTTGTATAGAGACAGGCCTCAATGAGAATAGTTTATTGTGAAAGTTTCAGATCTTTTGACTGCTCCTAGGCTGAAGTAAGAACATCGGAATCCACTGATGTATAGGAGTGATATAGAAGCATACGTTTACTATAGCTGTATTTTAGATAAGAACAATCAAAAGACCTGAAACTTTCACAGTAGACTATTCTCATTGAAACTTGTTTCTATGCAAAGTTTCAAGTAGAAATTCGAAACTTCGTTTTCCTGGTATTTCTGAGGGGAGGGGGACCACAGCTTTGTGTTTAAAACTATCGTAAAAATACAATTTCTCAGCAACAATAAGCTAGCAGAACGAACTCTTTTCAGGGTATTCATAGATCATTAGGGCCTACATGATGCTCATACTTTCGATTTAAAAGTGATGTGACACTTGGGAATGTTCCCTCGTAAGACCAATACTATAAATATGAAACATCAATAACATTCAAAGTATTGTTTGGAGTAACGGTGTTATTGTGACTGTGTTGTATGGATTCGAGAGATTCAAGGAAATACATATTCGCACACTGAATGTATTTTAATAATTATTGTCTGTTTAAAAAAAATAATCGTCAGAGCCATTTTTACAATAACTCAAGAAAGAAAAGAACTAGAGCACTGCGGTTTTTACCAGTCGAAGGAGATAACACTAGAGCATCTTTTTCTCTAATATTGTATAAGATGAAATCATTTATAAAATCTATCATTTCTGCAAAAAATCCATGAGAACGATCTGTCGTTCTGATGAAATTTTAGTTTTCATATGTGATTTGAATAGAGGGAGATCTCAGATCTATAATTTAAAATATAATTTGAATAATCATCTTTACGTATTATAACGTTAGGCAAATCAAATTCTTTATTTACTTCTTCGAAAAGTTTGAATTTCTCTTAGTTTTTAAGCTACTTTTCTTACTTTTTGTCAAAATTTCATATGAACGATCGATAATTTTTGTTTCTTTTTTTCAATATTTTGCAAAAATGTACATTTTAAAATGATTTCGTCGTATACAACATTGAAGAAAAAGATATCGTAGTCTCGTCACTGTCGATTAGTGAAAACCGAAGCTCTCTAGTTCTTTCCTTTCTTGAGTTATTGCAAAAATGGCCAGGACCATTATTTTTTAAACAGACAATAGTCGATAGTACCCTTTTCATTTCAGTAATCGACTATATATATATTTTTGCATTTTCCATGCTAATAATCACAAACATAAAAACTATCATATCTCAATTTTTTTGATTTTACAAAAATTCAAAGAATTTAATGATAAATTCATACCATCTTCATTCGTTCGTACTAAATCAGTTTCACGTATAGATCCATCTCCATTAATATTAAATATATTAATAATAATTTTATAGATAGTAAAAGGAATAAGATTATTTAAGATAACATTTGATTCATTATATGATGCAATTAAATTCTGTTGTTTATTTGTTTCATTAGCTGTTATCCATTGTATTCGATAACTTATCGATGGTAATATTTGATTAATATTCCATTGAACTAATATTTCTGTTGAACTTAAAACACTAACATTTAATGAATTAATTGATATATGAGTTGGTGTAGATGATTGTATATGAAAATATTTTGCAAATGAAAGTGGACCATCACCAATTGTATTACTTAAACAAACATATAAAACATGTGTATCATTAATAGTTGAATCTTGACATAGATTATTTAAATGTATAGAATAATCTTCATTAATTGAATGATAACTTTTTTGAAATATTTGTTCATTTGAAATTGATTTTATTAAGACTTTTAAACGAGTATTATTATTATTATTATCAATTGAACCAAAATCCTTGATTAAAAAAAGAAAATAGAAAATTAAAATTAATTTAATAATTTACTTTAAGATAAATATCAATTTGACATGGTTGATTTGTTAATATATAATCAATTTTTGGTTGAATTAATGGTACTAAATTTATAAATAGAATAAATTATAAAAACAAAAATTTTTAACATGAATATATATTTTTTTTGTTTGTTGAGATTATTCTTACTACTTTCTTTTGTTCGAATATAATTTGTTGCACGACTATAATCACTTATACCCATATCATTTTGTGATGCTAATCGAAAACGATATTTTGTATTGGGTTTTAAACTAATAGAAGTATATATTTTTTAAAATCAAAATAAAAAAAAAAAAACAAGAATGATTTTACTTTTGAATAAGTAATTTTGTTATTTGTCCATCAGGTTTATTAATTGAATCATAGGATTTCCATGATATTATATGTTCTTCTTCATATTCAATTAATGTATATCGTATTGGTGCATAATTAAAATCTGAATCTTTACGCCATGTTAATATTAAACTTGTTGAATTAATTGAAGATTCAATTATTGTTGGTGGATATGGAGCAGCAGGTCGATCTAAAAGAATTTTTATATTAAAAAGAAAAAAGAGAATTTTGAGATGACGTACTTTTCGTCTCAAGTCATTCCGAACTTTGGACATGTGTCCGGGTGTTCGGAAATGAATTTTTGTCTCTAAAGATTTATGACGGGATGTTCGGAATAGAATGTTTCTTGATATATTTGATGTAGTGATCAGAGATCTCAATGAACAAGGTCGGATGTTCGAAATGTATGTCTAACGGTATTGTTACAGTAAAAGACCGAAAGAATGGAATGACATTGGCAGGAAGTTCGTAAAAGAATTTAGTGGGAGATCATAACGGATATAAAGATTGTTTCTTCTGTTTTTATAGACAAGAACGACTGTAAGAAAAGCGTGTCAATTCACAATCTCTCAAAGATGAGTAAATGTCAACATAGTTACGACCATCCTTTCTTTGTCATTATGAACTTTCGGACTTTCTCATTCCAATCTTCAATCAAAATTTCGCTGTTCAACCATCAGTAATGGATTGTCAGAGTTCGTCATGAACTTCTGGACAAATTTCATTCCGAATACCCTGTCTTTTTTTCTTATGCGTGGAGATAGTAACGGACTATTTCTACCGGAGTTCGCAATGAAAACGTGAGATGAAAAGTCATTTTTGCCGAATTTTGTTCTTTTGTAAATAAGAATATTTTATTTTTATACCTCGTTTTTCCATTGTTAATAAACGATTGATACTTGTTTCACCACAACCCATTCGAGTTTTAGCACAAAGAATAAATGTATATGGAGTTGTTTTTTCTAGATCTGAATAAAATAGAAAAATTTATTAATCGAATGAAATTTTATATTCAAAATGAATATCATCGATACAATAGACAAAAAAAATGGCAGTTTAGAAGAAAGAAAAAGATAAGAGATTTTGTTTTAACGAAATGAATATATACAAATTCCGATCGTGTTAAACACAAAAGAAAATTTAGGGTTGAGTATCATGAGTGATTATTTTTTAGTTTTTCAAAATTATTTCAATATTTTCTTCGACTAAGAAAAAGACTTAATATCATTTATAATTTGTTTTTTTTTTCTAAAAATATTAACATACTATTAACTAGATAAGAATTTGTTATACTGGTTAAATTATCAATTTCAATACGTGTTTGTTCATCATCTGAACGCCAATATATAAGTCGATAACCAATTAGAATTCCATTTAATTTTGTTGGTTGTTGCCATGTCATTCTTGCAGACCAATGATCAACATCAGGAAAAAAAACTTCGGTTGGTTTTGAAGGAACTAAATACAATGAAATTCATCGAAAAACACAATTTTTTTTTTATAAACAAATCTTCCATACATACCACTTTCATCAGTAATAAATATTAACGGTTGACTATATGTACTACATCCACTTGATGTACATGCACTTATTGAACATGAATAATTTGTATAACCATCAAGATTATTTAAAATATAACTAATCGTTGAATTATTATTCGAATAATCGATAATATGAATTATTTGAGATGATAATAATGAAAAATACATTATCTAAATAATAATTAATAATTAAATAAAATTTTCTTCTTAAGAACATTAATTTTACTTTATAATTAGTAATAAAACCACCTTGGTCAAAAGTATTTAATGAATTCCAACGAATTCTAGCAGATGTTCCATTTATTGAATCAATTCGAATATTTGATGGTGGACGAAGAGGTACTAAAAATTTTATTTCAAAAAAAAAATGAATACAACATGATGTCATATGTATATATGTTTATATTAACCATTTTCAAATGTTTTTTCAATTGTTTCTTTTGAAGTTTTACTCATACCAATACGATTATAAGTATATAATCTAATAAGAAATAATGTATTTGCTGGTGATAAATTATTAAATATATATTCTGTTTTTAATGGATCTTCAATTTTAATATTTTTTGTTATAGAATCATTGATTGATAATATATAACCAATATCCTTTCCAGTTGATGACATCGAATTCCATTCATTAGTAGCAATTGGCTAGAATAGTTATACTATTAAAGAACCTTGTCGAATAAGATGAACAACATTCATTTCAAAAGTTATCTATACCATTTTCTAGAGTATCTCATAATGGATAGAAGAAGTTATATTTTAATCAAATTTTAACGATTTGAGCAGTTTATGTAACAATTGTAGGTCATAGAAAAGAATATTATGACTGAATATTTTCAAATTTTTGATACTGTTCCTACAGGCAAAAGTTACCAATCATAAAACGTTGCATCACTAAGCTCTATAAGGATATTAATAGATTATCTTCTGAATTGTTCACTTTCAGATCTTTGCAGAACGATAGGAAAATATTAAAAATTTTTAATTCTCATAATAATGTAAACATATTTTATATCTTTTGTCAATAGGAATCGAATAATCGACCAATATCATCCTAACACATTTTGATTCGCAGGATAATCCATTAGTGTACGTATAGAGCTTCGTAGCATGAAGTTTTATAGTTAGTCATCTTTGCCATTAGCATCCATATGAAAAATTCTAAGATTTTATATAGCAAAAAACACTATTATGAGAATTATTAAATATACACATTTGAAAGTCATCACATAAGATGTTTGTTCATATTTGACTACTGTTTTCAAATAGGAGCTCAGATATATTTAAGAAAAAAAGAAATTTTTACCATCCATCGAACTCTTATAGCACTTGAATTGATTGCTTGTGCTAATAAAATTTGTGGTACACTTGATGGTACATCGGGTTTAGTTCGAAAGAATTCTGTTGGAATACTTGCATTACTTATTCCTTTAATATTAACAGCTAACATTTGTATTCGATATAATCGATTAGGATATAAATCATGAACAATTAATTTTGATTGTTCAATATTAAATGACTAGAAAAAAAAAAAAATTTTTTTTTTTTTTATTAAAATTTTTTACAATGAAAAAAAAAATTTTACTTGAATATTTTCCCATTTTGAATTATTACTTCTCATTTGAATTTGAATAATATATCGTAAAATATTTGTTTTACCAGTATAACCAGGAGAAAATTTAATTATTACAGAACGTTTATCAATTGAAATAATTTCAAGATTAGTTGGTGGTGATGGCATTTCAGGTGGATAACCTGATTCAATTGATGCTGAACGTTTAATACCAAAACCTTTTCGTGTTTTAGCTCGAACACTTATGATATACCATGTTGTTGCTGATAAATTATTTATTTTATATGTTGTTAAATTAGATTCAATTTCAATTATTGAACGATCAGATAAATTTGTTTGTGTATTATTCATTTGATACCATTCAAGTTCATAACTAATTAAATGTCCATTTATTTCAAATGGTTTTTGCCAACTTATATCCAATGATGTATCATAGACATTAGAAAAAGTTAAATTTTCTACTTGATCAGGAACTTAAAAAGAAAAAATAGATTCATTATTTTTATTAAAAAAGGGAAATTTCTAGTAAATAGAACAAAAAAACAAAAAAATCAACAGTATATTTGAATGGTGCAACGTGCAAAATAAAATAGTATTGAAATCAATGCATTATGAACTCAATCATGAGTGAAAAACTTATCTATTTTCTTCAAGTTCATTTTCCTATTACGAAATATATAAAGTTAAGAATTTTTCGTCAACGATAATTAACAAATCGAAAAACATTCTATCTTATTTGATAAGTATTTCACATAGAGATAAATTTTTATAGATATATTATATTTTGTTTATTAAGTTTTCAGTTATTTGACGAATTAGTTTGATATGTATATTCGTTTTATAAGTTCATAATGTATCTCAACGCAAGATTCTATACTCAGATAAATAATAAAGGCTAGCATTCGATTGTATAGCGACTTTGTTAATTCAATGTAGCATTAAACATCTTAATTTACTCGCATATGTTGTTGTCAATTAACTCTTCCATTGAATAATCTTTATTCGAGCTTGATTATTAGGGTGCATGGTGTAAACGAAATCATGAAACTTTATTTGGAGATAGATGACATAATCCGCTTAATAGATTGCAAATTTTAGAACAAAAAAAACTAGATGCTTCTATTTCAAGATAAAAAATTTCGAAATTGCTGATCTCTGTAAACGATTTAAACAAATATGTTTTTTTTTATAGTAGACTAGCGAGAGCCCTTACATACTGCACGGCGGTTTTCTCCTTTAACGTATGAGCTAAGACGTTTAACTTTTCATTCAGGAACAAACATACAGAGACTCGATATTATGTATATAGATAGATAGCTCTACGGTCTCATACTCTTATATCGCACATATTTTTATAGTCCATGTAGCCTTCAGCCTTATAGTCTTGTAGCCTTATCCGCTTATTGCCTTAGTCCATTGAGAACCTATGGCTACCCCCATATTATAGCTCTTCATGCCCTACAGATATACCATATAATAGCCCTTGAGGATTTATAGGTACCCCCGTATAATAGCTGTTGAGAACTTATGGGTAGTCACATATAATAGTCCTTAAGGACCTGTGAGTATCCCTGTATAATAAGTCTTGAGGATCTGTGGCTACCCCTATATAATAGCTCTTGAGGTCCTATATATACTCGCATATAATAGCCCTTGAGGACTTATAATAATAGCCCTTGAGAGCCTATGGATCCCCATTATAACAGCTCTTGGACCTTCTCCTTACAGCCTTATTTGACCTTTGACCCACCACAGACACATACACACTGAACATTATATATATAGATAATATCATGAAAAGAAATCATCATTCATTTTAGCTGAAACGTTTAGAATATAAAAATGCGACTGAGGTCAATCTCCGAATAGAATTCTATTATTCAATATGTCTCATAATATCTTACAAAAATCAAAAGCTTATAACTCTTTATGCACACGACAGGTTCTAATCTTCAGCAAAGTCAGATATATTTTCTTCGTAATAGGTAACAAGAGGAACGATTATCTATAGATTGTCAATTAGTTGAAAAAGAAAATTCATTAGATTATTTCCTTTATAAAGTTTTCAATGACTATGATTCAGTTTTATTTGAAAAAAAATGAAAACTTCTGAAATATTATTTTATACCATCTTCAAGTGTTTGAACATAAATCATAGGTAATGACCATGGTCCACTACCAATTTTAGTTGCACAATTAATTCTAACTGAATAATTTGTATATTTTTTTAAATCACCAATAATAAGTTGATAGAGTTCAATAGGTTTAGCTTGTTGTTCTTGATATAATGTTATATTTCGATTTAAATCAATTAATTCAATCTAAAAATAAAAATTTCAATTATTTAATTTTCTTATTCTTCATTTTACTTTAAATGAATTAAGTATTCCATTAATATATGATGAAGATGGACCATGCCATTTAATCATAATAGCTGTAGAATTTATTGGTTCATATTGAACAATTGTTGGTGCACGACTTGGTATACCTTCAAGTGTACGAACTTTAACTATTTCACTTGCTGGACCAACACCAACATTATTAACAACTGATACAGATATTAAATATGATTCCCATGTCATTAAATCTAATATAAAAAATTCGAATTGGATTTTTTATTTGTTTTTTTTTGTATTTATGTGCAAAAAAGAAAAACAAAAACCTTTTAAAATATATGATTGTGTTGATGAATTAACACGAATTGATTTCCAATTTAAATTTGGATAATTTAATGCATAATTAATATCATAACCAATTAATTGTCCATTAATACTTGATTCAATTGGTTTTGTATATTCAATAAATATCGATGTTGAATCACGAGGAATAACTGTTAAAGATTTAACAGTACCACTTGGAACTAAATTGATAGACAAATTTGTTTTTTTATTTCTATTAAGAAATAATCTTACTTTCTTCTGGCAAAGTAACGTTGTTACTAGGAGCACTTATTTGACCTAAACATAAATAAACAGTACTCGATAATGTTTTTTTTTTATCAATTTTCAATTGCTATAATAATATTAGAATTTTAATTGAAAATTGTTTCAACTCTGATAAGATTCGTTCCCATCAATTAGAATATTTGTTTTATAAAAGATACAAAATCTATGGTAAAATTATTGAAACTTTAATTTTCAACTTATTTTAAAGAAAATTTTCTTTATAAGACGATAAAGTATTACTATTACAAATTTTCATATATAGTAAATAATAATTCTATATACCTTCTCCTAATTGATTCCAGGCTGATAATCGAAAACGATAAGTTGTAAATGGTCGAAGACCACGTAATAAAATCGATGTTTGAGTAGGATTTTTTTGTATTATAATATCTTCTTTAGTTTCCCATCCGAGTTCATCATTTAATAATGAAAATTCATTAATATCTGATAATGTACTATCTTTCATTTGTATTGTATATCGTTCAATTGGCATATTTCCATCAAAATTAGATACCCAAGTTAAATTAACAACAATTGATTTACTTATTGCATCATTAACAAGTGTTGCTCGAACAAATGTTGGTGGCCAAGGTAATTCTATTGATTAAAAAAAAAAAAGATTTATATCATAGAACAATATTTTAATGATATATCAACTTACCAATAACTGTTACTTCTGTTGTACGACTATCATTACCTGCTTCAGATTCGACTTTACAAGTATAATTACCCTATTAGAAAAAAAAAATATTTAGTGTAGTATGACAAAAAATATCAAGCACTTGCGAAAAAACAATAGGCAACATTTATTAGTTAAACATAGATCAGTTGAGCATCACTTAATAATTCTACTCTACCTTTTATGTTGATATTTATTGCATTTAAGAAATAATAAACTTAAAAAAAAATCATAGTACTTCTTATATGATCAAAACAGACTGCTAAAAAAAATTGAGTTCGGAAGAGAAAGTCAAAGTAACTTAAATGTTTTGACTCACTCAATAAGTTGATTTTAGATCTAACTGATTAAGTACAATCCCTAGTCGAACATCTTGTAAGCAAGATCTTAGGTACAGAAAAGTGAACAGATCTTGAATTAGATCTTGAGTACACACTAAGATAAAACGTGTTGCATGTGTCGTGATTTGCGACAGAATGCATGATGCATTCTGCAAGCGTGGTTCGAACCTATCATATAGCGCATTTATTATTTTTTTCTGTAAAAGCATTTTATGACATTTTTTCAATTTATTTTCATTTTAATTATTCCTATCCCGAATAACTGAAGCAAGTCAGATCTTGGAACCTGCCTGACCTTGAGATCGCCCGATCTCCATCGGACTGTTTCAGGGTAGTCCTCTATCGATCATCGATCGAGATCAGCATGTTCTCGAATAATCAATAATCGAGAAATAGTTTAGAAATTTTTTTTTTTTTGAAAATGTATGTTTCGGGTGTTCAATCATGTTGTTTATATATGGCTGTGTATGCATAAAAAAACGATGAATGTCTAGTCAGCATGTAAATACACCAATGATGTCGGTTTTTGTTTTACTCAAGATCTTGTGAGCAGTGTTTTATCTCGGTTTCGTTTCCCGAGTGGGCGAGTCGAAATTGCCCGTGGGCGGCGCCCACCGGGCCCACCCAGTCGATAAATCACTGCTTATGAGAAGGTAATAGTAAACGATATTTTTTCTATGATCTTGACAAGATCTTAGGTACAGGTTTATCTGATACAATCAAAATATTGCACATACAAATTATCTTTTCAAGATCTTGATTATAAGATGCTCGACTAGGAAATGCTCTATTTACTTTCCATATATATATATGCTTTTCATATTTAAATAAAAAAACATTATCGATTGAATTTTAATTAAAATTTTGACATACTGTATCTTGATTTTGTGGTGTATCAATTAAAATTGTACTTTCATTATAAATTTTATTTTGTGTTATTATTTGATTATAATTAAAATACCATGAAATTTTTCTTGATACATCATCTTCATTAAATACATGACAAACAAGTATTAATGATTGTGCTTTAATAATTTTAATTGTTTGTGGTAATGATACAATTCTTGTTCGTCCTAAAATATTATGTTACCTTTTTCTTTTTCTTTTTCTTTTTTCTCTATACATACGGCGAACAAGTAATGTTGTACGTGCATTAGCTGATCCAAGAATATTCTGTGCTAAACATTCATATTGACTAGAATCATTTGGTATTGTATTTGATATTGATAAAATACCAGTTCGATTATCAATATAAAATCTTTCATGAATATTATTTAATAAAATTCGTTTATCATCATTTAAATTTACTAAATTTTAATATTAAAAAAAAAAAATTTTAATTTAATATAACAAAAATAAAATATTTTGTATTTTTACATTTAAACCAAGTTATATTTGGCCATGGTGATCCATTAACATTACATATTAATTGAACATCAGTTCCATTAAAAACTATTAAATCTTTACTTACAGTTACATTCGGTGGTTCACCTAAGAAAATTTTATTTTTTTGATTTAAAAATGAAAAAAAAAAAAAACGAATTTTTACTTTTAATTTTTAACCATGTTGAACGTGTATCTTCACCAACATCATTTGTTAAAAAACATTGATACATACCTTGATCATTCCATTCAATATCATTAATGATTAATTGATTTTCAATTAATTGAATTCTATTATTATTAAAAACAAAACAAAACAAAACAAGTTTTTTTTTTTTTGTTTTGAAAATTTTCTTTTACTTCGATGATTGATTTATTAAACGAACAGCATCTTTATACCATGTTACATTAACATCTGTTGATGTTTGTGTACTATTACAAATAAAAATAATTTGATCTTGTAAATCAATATTATGTATAAGTGGAAAATTTGTTGTTATTATAGGAACACCTTATATAATTTAAATATATATATATATATTTGTAGAAAATATATAATAATTAATATTATTTACCTCGAACAATTAATTTAGCACTTGCATTTATAAATGTTTCAGTATTTCTTATACGAACATGACATGAATATATTCCTTGATCCTCAGCAATTATTCCACGAACTTCAAGTGTTCGATTATAAGGACCAATATGAAATCGTCCATTTGTTTGATCAATTAATATAGAATTTTTTTGCCAAATTATTTCAATAGAATTAGTAGAACTAGTTCAATAGAAAACAAAAAACAATCATACATTCGATTTATAAAACAAACAAGAAATCTATTTTTGAAATCGAAATTTCATTGTTTTTTTTTTTCTCAAATATAGACATATTGATTCATTCTATAAGAACTAAATTATATTGAACAAAATCAAGAATAAAAATGAATGATTTCAATTGAGAAAAAAAAAAACTTTATAGAATTTTACCCAGTATTAACAACACATTCAAATGATTTAATAGGATCACCAATAGTTGCTAATTGATCTATTGGTTTAATAATAAATTCTGGTATAGATGATAATTGAAATGATGTTTTTCGTCGATTAATTTGTAAACGATAATCTGATGTTTGTTTTGTACCACCAACAAATATATTTTCAATAATAGCATAATAAATTTTTTCATCTTGATAGTCAGTATTAAGTATAACAAGATTATATGTTGATGTAATAAAATATTTTTCGTTTGATGTAATACGTTTATTATCACGTGATAATGAACTGCTTTTCATAAACCATTGTATAGTTGGTTCAGGTGATGAATTAATTATTGGTAAATATAATATAATAGCATCTGATTCATAAACATTTATATATTGATCACGTTGATTAGAAATTAAATTATCAAAATACCAAATTGTTAAATATGATGCTTTACTTGCAACAATACCAACATCATTTTTTGCTAAACATCTATATGAACCTTGATCTTGTTTTTTAGCTGATGTTATTTCAAAATAAGTAGATGAAGAAAAATTTGTTGTTAAATTTTTCCATTCACGTAACCACATATATGTTGGAGATGGATAACCAATTGCATTACAAGTAAAAACTTTACGAGAACCTATTGATACATCATCATCACTAGATTCACGTAAAATTATTGGAGGTTGTAATTGTTCACCTATTGTTTTTTTTTTATTTCAAAGAAAAAAATTTATTTATGATATTAGGAATAGTTTTTTTTTTTCTTACTGAAAATTGTAATAAAAAGAGTATATACAATGCATAACAATTTGATAAACATAGGAAATGTATGTACATTCGGTTGATGACGAAATCTAAAATAATAATAATAATAAAGAAAGACTTTGTTTGTATTTTTTTTTCTTTAACAAGTGACAGTTGACCGACGGTTGACACCTTTGAAAGGTATATCAATGTATGATTCATCGAATGACCAATGACCTCGTTTCGTTGGTTGACCATCGCCATATAACACTTATTATATCCTTTTTTTTCCTCTATATACCAAAGATTGTTTCGTCCAATTCTGTACCTATTTGTTCGTTAATACATATATATGTGTACGGTGACAATAAAAAGATTTTTAAGGAAAAAACATTAGAAATGATATTAAAAAAAAAAATCTGATCGAAGAGTATTCTTTGCATTTTTCTATATATGAAGATATGAATCAGGTCGCATATCTTCGATAAACTTCTATAATGAATATTACTTAATGCTGTTCTCTGATGGTAGCGGTTCACTTTGAATTTTATATTAATCTGATCCGATCAATCTGCACGATATTCTATCAAATATTCTTATATCTATATAACAAGTGGAAGGATATATCTACATTCATAGCAAAAAGAAGAAAAGCAAGTTATATCATGACATTAGAGAGTGTATCTAAAAAAAAGTTTTTTTTTTATCAAAATGTGATTTGAAACAGTATAGCATAAAACAAATATATAATTTTGTTTTGTATTCTTTCTTTTTTTTTCTAAAACGAAAGTTCAGATATCGATAACGTCTATATTTTGACTTCTGCATACTTTGTATTCATTATCTGTTTTTAAATACATGATCTTTTTTACATAATTGAATATAGTGACTTTTATGAATATTTTGTACAACTGACATTTCTCATTTGCAAGTAAATGAAAAATTTAAGTGTCAGAACAATTTTCTATTTTCTTTAAATATGCTTCGTTTTTTAAAACTTTTGAAGGTTATTAACATAAATATTATATAAATCTTGAGTATGTTGCTGAGATACGATCATAATTATCAGATTCATTTTAGAAATCATCCAATGTTATGCTAATTTTTTATTATCAATAGATCTAAGCTTATACTTTTTTTTCATTTTATCTCAGGATCACATCTATGTCCTTCATGTTATCAGAAAGATGATTGAAAATTTTTTTTTCTTAATTACTTTTCTACATAATATGAGATATTTGTTATGAATCATTAGCTTTAATTCTATCTGAAGAAATAGTCATTGATGGAAAAAAAGAAACCATTGTTTATTTTAGAGATGATGCTGTCATGAATCATTTCACTTTATAAAATTCATTATTTAACCTATTACTTTCTTACAGAAAGTTGTTTTAATTTTTTGAACAACACCTAAATTTATAATCTTTTTTTTTTGTGATTACATCAGAATTATATCTTTCAATCATAAAACCAATAAGGAACTTTTAGCATGTTAGAGCAAACTATATGACATGTTTCTTTTCTGAAATTTTACTCTTATTTGTGTTGAGTACATTGATATATTGAAGGTTCGAAATGAAAAAAAGAAACGGAATTCTGTCATAGTTTGAAAAGATCGAGCATTTATTCGCAATATCAACATTAAGTAATAATTGTAAGTCTTACATATGTAAAAAAAAACAAAAACTATCTGTAACTTGTTTTTTTCGTCAATTAATTTTGAAAAATGAATTTATTTCTGATTTTTCCATTCTTCTATTTTGGTATTGAAGTGAAGTCACTCTCGAATAAAGACGTCTTTGTATAAAATAGAATAAATTCTTTTAACTTTAATACGATATAGAGAAATACGTATTCGATATTTCCAATTGATTCATCACCAATATCAGCAGTTTTCACACTACTCAATGCCATTTCTATTGTATCTACATTTTCATTTCACTCTTCGATTGTTTTAAGAAAACTTTTGACAATGTATTTAATAATTATGACATTCACTAATCTCTTGAAATTCTTTAAATGAGAGTATTGATTTATCGTAAATTTCTCATTGATCTCAGCTGATCAAATATCATCAAATCAAAATCGATTCGAAAATAGTGATAAAAATACCAATATTTAAATAACAACCAAATTTTCATCTATTCGAGTATAAAGATACGATTGTTTTTAGCTGTTTTGTTGATTCCAACTGTGATGGACTGATATTGTAATATTATTAAAAAAAAAACTGATAAGTATTTTAATGGCGATAAAAACTGTTTTACAACATTTGTTTCATATAAGAAAAAAATTTTTCAACACATATAATCGGCGGTCCTTAATAAATGACCATGTAAATATTTTTTGAATATATCTCTAAGCTTTCAAAATTTTCTCTTGAAAATTTTCTTCAAAGATTACTTTAATAATTCTTCAGAAAATTGAATGAAATGAACTTTTCAATAATATAATTAGAAAGACATATTCGATGAGCAATACTGCGTAAATTTGAATAGGGCTTATTGTCTTAGGAATAATTATTTTTCTTGTGATCAAACAGATTTCAGATCATTTTAAAGTACACTTTCAATGTTTTCAGATAAATGTGTGATATTCCTGTGATCAATATTACTAAAGGACAAGTGTGAGTCATAGATTCGTCTACTAAGTGATGAACCTTTATGAGAAATTCTTATGACACACATAATGGAGGTAGATTATAGAATGATAGTGTCGATGAGTGAAAGCAAGATACGCTGATATTCACACTTTACAGATATCGGTTGATGATTCTTATTTCTGATTTCTTTTTTTAGAACGCTGACAAAAACTTTGTTTCAATGTCGAAATAGATTATCGACTTCCAGAAATTATTCTCATTGATATCTAAACAATGAGATTCTTATAGGAATTAATAAACGAAAAAGTGAAAGTTGATGTTTTTTTTCACCTTCCAATGATCAGTCGTGCGGGTGCTTTCTGTGTTGATGGATAGATCTGAATATCGATAAAAAGTGAATGAAGTTGTCCTATTTCTTGCCTATCATAATCAAGCACAATGCCGGCTAGTGACTCTTCAATAGCCATATCGAAATGAAAGTGGTGGAGTGTCGGCACACGTTGCTGGAGAATATCAGCGAGTGAATATATATTAATATTATTCGCTGTGGATGAAGATCCTCGAACGATGAAAGTAGTCAGCTTGGGCACCAACGACAGGAATACATCGATTATATCGCAACATGAAAACATGGTTTCGTTCAGACAAAGATTCAATCGACGAAGAGATGTATGAACAGGAACTTCAAATCGAGCGGGTGGTCGAGTAAAGTGTCGTGTTAACTCGAGTTTTAACCGGATGAGAGATGGACAAGACTGAAGTATTTGTGTATAGACTCGAGGATTTTCTATACACACATTTAATATATGCAACGATGGAATACAAGTCCAATCTTGTCGTATTCGGTACAAGATCAAATTGAGTTGACACGTATGTAAATTTGGATATGCATTTGTGAAAACAAAGAATGGTAATGACACTGAATAGTAGAAATGTTCGATTGGACGTCGTGAAATATACAAATATCTGAGCTGCGAAAATTGTCGAATCGATTGACATTGAACTCGATTCGGTTCCATGTACAGTGTTAATGAACGAACAGCTGAAAACAGTGATAAATCCATTAACTCAACATAATGCATACTGAGTTTTGTTATACGTGAGGCGAAGTAACAAAAATGTGAAGAAGACAATTCTTGTTGGAATGTAACTTCACCATAGACATTTGTGAGAGACGCGAGTATCGCTCGAAATCGATAATTGAGACTATAAAAACCATCGAATAGATCTCGAACAGATAGATACTGAAAAATTTCAAAGAAAAGTTCGTCCGGTAAGGATTCGAGGATTGTAATCAAGGGTAATAGTGACGGCAGCAATAGACCATTCATTCAATCTATTGAGATTGATCTGAAAGAATATGCAAAAACCAGAAGAAACCAAGTTCATAAAGAGTTAAACTCACTATTACCAACCTATTCATACGTCTGATCAATCAATGTAGATTTGTCTTTATGTCTCCCACTTCCAATTTATTGTACCAAATATCTTTGCTTGAAAGAGTCAACGATGCATGGATAACTACCATTTTCTTCAATGATAGGTTTAAATATTCACAAGGAAAAAATCTCAATAGAATTCATAAGTAAGGAACAACGCGAAAACTTTTCTCAATAGGTTACCAACGCAGATCATATGATTCTGTTTTATCGTAACAGCTCGATGACTCATTGCAAAAACAGCGAGCAAGGAAGAAGGAAGAAAGACTATACCGGTATGGTTCTCGACAAACAACCAATCTTAATCTCATTGAATTGTTCTCATATCTTTAGAATTTGAAAATTAATGTGCGTTGATCAGCGACATCCTTTCAATTTTCTCTATTCAAAGACTCTTTCTGTCGTCTGAATCACCGATGGAAATATCTAGCAGCAAATCAATCATAGTTCTGACAATAGTATAAATACTAATACGGTCAAATTTTGTTGCAATCATAATGTTTAGAAACTACGACCCAACATGCGCTGCTAAATTACATTCACATCAGGGCTCGAATCGGGCCGCCCGGCCCAGCGGACCGGCCCGGCCCAGCGGACCGGCCCGGCCCAGCGGACCGGCCCGGCCCGGCCCGGCCCAACAAGGCCCGGTCCGGGCCAACGAATTTTTTCTGTTGGGCCGGGCAGGCCAGCCAAGGAAGACCAACGGGCCGGGCGGGCCGAAGATTTTGTCAGGCGGTCCGGCCCAACAACATTGTTTATATTAAATTTTATAGATGTCATCAGATTCAGAAATTATAACAAAATATATATTATGGAAGTGTTTATGAAAGTATCACCAGATAGTAGAGTAAGCAAATAACTTTTTTGTTTATGAAATCTGTTATTTGTTTTCTTTATGGTGGCTTTCACACGTAATCAACAACAACTTTTTTCTGTTCGTTAATTTTTTTTATTAGCTTCATTCATTGAATCCAGATACGGTAGAAGATGTTCCTTTTGTTCGTTCCATACAAAAACCATTAATGAATAACCCTAATCTTTTCTCAGATAAATGTTGATTTTTTTTATGTGTAGTGTATTATTTTCACTGGTTCTACATCTAGTAGTTTTTCGTGGTACTTGCTAATTTCTTTTTTCGTTATTACATTACTGATCAAATGTCATTAAATTCATCAATAAATTATTGATGTACACTACGGAAATTTCTTTTGAAATACGACGTTTATTGTTATAATCAGTTCTGCAAAAAATATTTTCTAAAACTAATTTCGTTGGGCCTAGGTCGGGCCGGGCCGGGCGGGCCGACAAATTTGGTGGGCCAGGCCGGGCCGGGCCGAAAACACGACAAGTTGGGCCTGGTGGGCTGCAGATTTGATGGGCCGCTTTGGGCCGGACCGGGCCAGAAAATAGTGGCCCAGTTCGAGCCCTGATTCACATCCATTCAATAGACACATGAGGGTTGATGTGGTTGAGTGCTTGTCAATTCTCTTCTCGCCCATAGTCTTTTCCTGTGTTCTATCAACATTTTTCTCATTTCTTTCTTCTTTTTTTATTTTATCTTTGGTTGTTAGAAGTATATTACTAAAAAACAAAAATTTTTCACCGTAATTATAAGCATGTTGGAAGAAAAAAGAAAAGTCATAAAAAAAACAGAGACTACGTATACACAAAGAAACTATCATTTTGAGTAAATATTTACTTCTGGATATTTGATCACCTATGTATGTATTTTTTTTTGTCTTTCATTTCTACTATTTACTTCCTATCGTTTGAAGCCAACTTATTTTTCTATTGTAATGCAAAGAAGCGATTGAGAGTTCTAAGTAGGTTCTATTATTTAAAAAAGTAACTTTTTAGGAAGTGTTTGAAACAGATAAGTTTTTTAGAAAAGAAAACTTCAACTATTTCTAAAGTAAACAACGCAGCAATAGCGGATAATGCAGCGATTAGTGAAAAAAAGGAACCCAGACACAAACCAAGATATCAACTTAGAAAGAGCTGTTTCATCGGGTGTGTTAGTGTGCGTGTAGAACTTCTATTCTTTCACACACACACCCACATCCTTTTTATGTGTTGCATCAGTAGCATGCAAGCATCGAAAAAACACCATAGTAGTACGTTGTCAATATTTCTTGATTCAACTTCGCTTCACTTCGCTATTTGCTTTGTGTTATTCAGTTGCAAAAGACCTGTTACTCATATTCAACAAACTATGTAATTCTCGATGTACTTATCAGTTTTTTTTCTATGTGCAAATAAAAGCAGTTATTTAAGTGTCTCTTGTGCAAATTCACAGATCTCCCCGTGAAAAAGAAACACAAAGAAAAAGCATTTTTATTCAGCAAGGTAAGTCTCATCGTGTCAAATCTTATCGAACTTTATAACATTCAGACGGATTTCAACAGTTAATATCAGACAGGATTCGATCATTGAGACTCAACGCTTTCTCGGGACTTTTCGAAAAAGGTATGGGTATGGAATGGAGTCCGTGACGTAAATGAATTATCAAGTAATTGAAAAAACATTAATTACACAAGAATTCAAAGAAATTGATTAAACAGCAAGGTCTACCATGGTCTATCAGGTTCTACCAGGGTTTTCTGGCATCCACATCGAGAGAGACGTAATGAAAGTCATTTCACGCTACCCACGGCGAGATTCTGGTAGATTCTGTTGTTTTATCAATCTCTTTGAATTATTTTGTAATTAATATTTTTTGAATTACTCTATAATTCATTGACGTCAGCCAGTGATGGAATGGGTTGTGGCTATGGGTGTGAAAGAATAAAAGTTCTACTCCCGCACTCACACCCAACCCATATTCTCTATATATTTTATTTTTTGTGTCTGAAAGAACATATCAGAATTGAATG